TTCTGGTTCAATGTGAATGGAGTGTCCTCCCCTGTGATGTGCGACCTCGGACCAGGCGGCATTGCTTCTCTCAGCTTTAATGACCAAACATGCCGCTGAGAATGAAACCATGTCAGAAATACTTTTTAACATTTACGGTTCAACAAACCATATCTAAAACCTACAATCAGATAATAGAATTAGCATAGTTAAAATATACAAGTATTTGCCCGACCGTGGATTATAAAGGCAAACAAAACGTTGAAGATCCTTTAGTGATGAAAGTGAAAAACCGATATGATATGATTCAATGTCACCAACGCATCAAATCGTTGTCATAAAATTTTCAAATGGGCACTGAAAGAAAATCTAAGTTTCTTGCCTTGGCAATTATTAAAAAATCCGTAATTCTTTGTTGGCTTTTATTTGGCACTGTAGCCACTTCCACGCGTCGAATGATTTCCTGTTCAAGATTTTATATATAAGTAGGTTTTGGTTTTATTGTATTTGGAATCATGCTTATTCGGAATTTGTCACATGTATGTAATATTAAAAATCAATCTCTTATTTATGTCTTCTAACATTACATATGATGGTGAAACCTGTTGAAACTACTGAGAGAGTTTGTGTCTACCTAGACCTGAATCTGGGGAAATCTAAACTTGCTTCGTTTAGGGCTTTAGCACTACAGGGAAGGCTAGGCTGTAGGGAAAATAATGTGGTTCAGGGACTGTGAGACAGACTAGTGTCTACCTTGCGTATTACACTTATTACAAACACCGTCATGATGACTGTATCCTGATCTCTAATTGTGTTTTTTGTTATATAGTTTTTTCCGCAAAACAACCACATAGTTCAATCCGTCAAAACTTTACATACAAATCAGAGATCTTGGTTATAAACATGTTATGTGTATTTCTTGTAAGTACATATGCTAAGTCTGACTTGCAACAGATGAAACATATAAAACTGAATCAGCAAATTTGCATCTGATAGTAAGATTAACGATACCTTTCTCTAACAAAAGACTCTGAGTACGAAGTTGTTCAATGAATATGCAGAACTACGCAAGTGTGGCAAAAATAGAAATATTATTTGGCCGCACAAGAGACACGAATAGCCTATTGATGTAAGTAATTAAACTACGTTTTGGTGCTTCGTATTTTAAAAATTGTAATAGACTGGTGCAGCTGCAGAATCCGTCCTCTTCTGGTTCAATGTGAATGGACTGTCTTCTCATGTGATCTGCAACCTCGGACCAGGCGACATTGCTACTCTCAGCTTTCATCAACAAACATGCCGCTGAGAATAAAACTACTTTTTAAAATTTACTGTTCGACCATCCAGACCTAAATCCTACAATCAGAAAATAGAATTAGTAGATATAAGACAAGTATACGAATGGCAACTTCTTATTTATTGTATAACACAACGTTTCTGGACCACTGCTTACCCCTTTTTCCGGTGATTAAAGACAAGTGTGGAAAACATGTTGTATAGACCAGATTTACAGGAAGCCAGAGATGTACATGTATAGACAATCAATCAGCACAGATAATACAGCAGTTATAAAAACAATGGTTATTGGGATAAGGTTAAGCCAGTTGACACAAACAATGAAGATAAGGATATGTGAACACAGCAGAGTGATATGCAGCTAATTAAGTGACAATTAGATATACAGGGGGTGAGGTGAAGTGAAATTGGGTTTTACGTCGTGTTTGAGAACATTTCGCTCATATGACGACGTGCATGCGTGTGTATGTGTATGTGCGGCTGCTTGTACTAGCCCAGACTTAAGCTGGTTTTATAGTGCTAGCCCACTGAGATACCATGCCGCAATGAAGCAAGAATACCCCACTCAGACACATTATACTGACTCCGAGCCGACCAGTCCTTGTTGTACCCATTAATGCCGAGCGCCAGGCAGGGACCAACAAGTACCATATTTTAACGTCTTTTGGTATGACGCGGTCGGGGATCGAACCCGCGACCTTCCGCTCTCCGGGCGGACGCTCAAACCACTACACCACGGAGGCGGTCAGTAAAGCCAGTTGACACAAACAATGAGGATAATGGGAGATGTGAACACAGCAGAGTGATATACAGCTAAATAAGTGACATTTAGATATACAGGAAGCCAGATATATACATGTATTAGTATAGTTAGCATTTGCCCGACCATGGATAATAAATATGTTCATATTCAAATTTATACATGAATACATTATCAGTGATGAGTGTGGCTATTATTGTCTGAAGCAATCCCCAAGTGAAGAGAAACGTTAGCACATATACATATCAAACAACAGCAAAATACTAACGCAACATTCTGCACATGAAGCATCAGCGCTCATTTTCCTCCGCTAGAACGACCAACCTAATCAGCTTAAATCTTAAGCCACATACATATGATAGATACATAGATAGATATTCTTTATTTCCTCCATAAAATGAAGATTACATTTGTATGGTAAACAACAGTACACAAAATCGCCAGTCGAATTAATGATATATTTCGAAATATGTTATTCGTGTTATTAAATATTATAATTTCTGAATTTGTATATGTTGAAACCAGTTGGAATTATTAAGTGTGTTGTTTGAATCTACTTGTACGCGAAATCACACGAATCAATAAATATCACACTTCAGACAAACACGTATATTCTGGTTTTATCAAATCAGCAAACATCACGTGTCTTTTCCCGTAAATGATATATTCACATTGCTTTAAACTGTGTTTGACATTGCTTTAAATATTGCTTTTGTTTGTTTGTTTTTTGTTCCGCAACATTCACATTAAACATTCTGTCAAACCAGTGATTGATAAGATAAGAAAACTCCCGACCCGAGCTCCTTGATACGTTAATCAGAGTCCCAGCGGGGGTTCACATAGTATTCGGAGGGGCGGTGGGGTAGCCTAGTGGTTAAAGCGTTGGCTCGTCACGCTGAAGACCCGGGTTCGAATCCCCACATGGGTACAATGTGTGAAGCTCATTTCTGGTGTCCCCCGCCGTGATGTTGCTGGAATATTGCTAAAAGCGGCGTAAAACCAAACTCAGTCCTTCAGTCAGTAGTATTCGGAGCGCTATGTGTCGCTATAAACCATGACACCTGACCACACCGAGCTCCTTCAAACGACAGACATCAGTTGCTGGGGAACCTTACAGAACAAGTCACCTATTCAGAAATACCCTTCTTTTGCTTTACGGGGCGGTGGGGTAGCCTAATGGTTAAAGCATTGGCTCGTCACGCCGAAGACCCGGGTTCGAATCCCCACATGGGTACAATGTGTGAAGCTCATTTCTGGTGTCCCCCGCCGTGATGTTGCTGGAATATTGCTAAAAGCGGCGTAAAACCAACCTCAGTCAGTCAGTCAGTCAGTCAGTCAGTCAGTCAGTCAGTCAGTCAGTCAGTCAGTCAGTCAGTCAGTCAGTCAGTCACTCAGTCAGTCAGTCAGTCAGTCAGTCAGTCAGTCAGTCACTCAGTCAGTCAGTCAGTCAGTCACTCAGTCAGTCAGTCAGTCAGTCAATCACTCAGTCAGTCAGTCAGTCAGTCAGTCAGTCACTCAGTCACTCAGTCAGTCAGTCAGTCACTCAGTCACTCAGTCACTCAGTCAGTCACTCAGTCAGTCAGTCAGTCAGTCAGTCAGTCAGTCAGTCAGTCAGTCACTCAGTCACTCAGTCACTCATTCAGTCAGTCAGTCAGTCAGTCAGTCAGTCAGTCAGTCAGTCACTCAGTCAGTCAGTCAGTCAGTCAGTCAGTCAGTCAGTCAGTCAGTCACTCAGTCACTCAGTCAGTCAGTCAGTCAGTCAGTCAGTCAGTCACTCAGTCAGTCACTCAGTCAGTCAGTCAGTCAGTCAGTCAGTCAGTCACTCACTCAGTCACTCAGTCAGTCAGTCAGTCAGTCAGTCAGTCAGTCAGTCACTCAGTCACTCAGTCAGTCAGTCAGTCAGTCAGTCACTCAGTCACTCAGTCAGTCAGTCAGTCAGTCAGTCAGTCAGTCAGTCAGTCAGTCACTCAGTCAGTCAGTCAGTCACTCAGTCACTCAGTCACTCAGTCAGTCAGTCAGTCCAGTCAGTCAGTCACTCAGTCAGTCAGTCAGTCAGTCAGTCTGTCAGTCAGTCACTCAGTCAGTCACTCAGTCAGTCAGTCAGTCTTTTGCTTTACAATTATAAAGCAACAAAACCTTTTCGTGAAAATCGACATGAACATTTTCACAATCATGAGACATATCTTCTGAAACAGTGTCCATTGTGCGACTCTGTCTATCTCTGGATCTCCAAATTGTGATGATACCATGTGGTCATTAAAAGTATGTCCCTCCCTCACAAGCACATGCAAAGGAAAGTCAATCATTCCCCTGAAAAAACACGTGAAAACAGTACCATTCAAATATGACATTATTTTTGTCACTGATGTGATTTGAATATTGTAAGCCCTGCTCGAGGTAGTGTGATCATGTGCTGCTCATACGGGTGAAAATCAGTGGTGGGGGGGGGGTAGCCTAGTGGTTAGAGCGGCCACCCGTCACACCGGGTTCGCTTCCCTGATGACCCCTGATATTTCTGAAATCTTGTTAAAAGCAACCGTTACGTAGGAACACAGTAAACGGATGAACATCACGAATGCCTTTCAGAGCCGTGTGATGGTCGACCCACATACAGACTGGACATGGGGCGGTGGGGTAGCCTAGTGGTTAAAGCGTTCGCTCGTCACGCCGAAGATACAGGTTCGATTCCCTACATGGGTACAATGTTTTAAGCCCATTTCCGGTGTCCGACGTCGTGATATTGCAGGGATATTGCTAAAAGCGCCGTAAAACTAAACTCACCCACTCACTCGCTGGACATATTCAATACTTCTATTGTGTACAACAAGATAAATCATATCTGTCTTTGGCTATCAATTTGGCCAACATTTCCAATACGACACAAAGACGTGTTATCTGCTTGTCATTGCCTGTCTTAGAAGGTCCATGTCGCTACAATCTCCAGTCAGTGATAGGCGTCTGATAACCCAGTGGCTCACGACATGACCCCGTTTACCAAGATGGCCGTCTATCGTCATATCATTCTGCCAACAATACTCCTTATTTTTGCATCCAACTGCATATTTGGTAAGTCATGTGATTCACGGTTATTTAATCAGTACTAGACAAAACGAAGCGATTTGTCCAAATGGCAAATGTATGGAGGTTTGACAAGGGTGCATTTACAGCCCTACACTAGTCCTGGTACTCCGAGGTACACATGACCATGATAAGACACTATGTTTCCAATTTATCCCAGCGTAGAGATGGAGACTTCAAGTGTCAATATTGTATACGTTAACACTTTGGAGACAAACACGTACAGGTAGGACAAGTGTCAAGGTAATGATCAAAGGAGGTTATTATCTATCATTATGCATTTCAAATCACGTCGCTCGTGACTGCATGACCATCCAAGGTCGTAGTCAAACATGAATATATGAATTGTACGTATATGTGGATAATAGAAAGCGAGATATTCGGGCTAACTGAGGCCCTTGGTTGAATGACGAGCCTTTGTATCGTTGTATAATTAAATATGCTCGATGATAACAGAACTATGGAATCCGAGAAGGGACATTGTCGCGTGTCGCGTTTTTGTAAATTTGTAGGCTGTTTTTACACATCTTACTTAGGGCGACAATGCGACAACGCGACATATTTTGACCTTGAAAATTGTCGCTATGTCAAGTGTCGCCCTTTGAGGAATACAATTTTTATATTCAAAACGCGACACGCGACATCGCAACAATGCGACAAATGAGCGAAGTCCTCGCGTTGTCGCGATGTCGCGTGTCGCGTTTTTGGTCAATTTTGCCTCATTTTGCTTGTATTTGAGAGGGCGACAACGCGACAATGCGACAACGCGATAATGTCCCTTCCAGGATTCCATACAGAACTGTCAGAACGGCAATTGTATGGATAGAGTGATACGGACATTTTTGAAAACGTCGAAACTGTGTACCCACGAAATGTTTTTGAATACACATTGACCGGAGTAATGATGTAGCCCTTAGTGTATACGTTCATATAACAGTATGAATATAAATATCTTCATCATGACCTTCAAATTACTTTTTAATATCATTCATCTATATATTATTATATACATATATATTATTGTTTCTGAAGATAACATTTTCACTCATTCTTTGCAACATATGCTTTGTGACATAAGACAAGAAAAATTCAGCTCTTTGCACCGCGTTGCTTGCCTACAAACCATGAAACCATTAAACACAAATATATTCTGTTGCAGCTGCTCGAATAATACCGATTTCAAAATCGCCCGAACTGTCCCCTGACGATTACGGATGATAACGACTATAATTTAAACATCAATGGAGTCCCCTGGTTGTTCAGCGAGAGTACGTTCTTCAGGGCTGATGGTCAGATGTACTCGGTGGAGGAAGGACACTCCCTCTGGTCAGCGTCACCAATGGGAGCGGCGTGGACAGGATGGGGCAATGGAAATCTGTGGACTTCCTTTTCAAGGCAGGATCTCACCAGATGCTGACAAGTCTCATATACTACATACAGCCCATTTACCCACTGGTCATGTTTAAACAGGTAGACATATACCTATCTGTTGACCATGTAGAATTATTTTGGGAGGGTGTAGACAGTGATGGAACAGGGTTGGGGTTTGGTTGGAGCGGGAAGGTGTTATTGGGAATAGCATTTTAGGACCTCAGACTGAAGGATTTGCGGGAACGTTCGGTGTATTGCCTCTGTGAAACAATGATGACCGATGCCATTCCCTATTTTGACTTGTACCATATGTGTTTTGTAGCTGACCAGTTGACCTGCCTTTGATGTAGGTGGGGCAGGATACACTCACCCTTTGCGCATCATAAATATTTCATAATGATTCATACCCCCGCTCTGTCATCGTATGTCATGGTATCAATCATTGGATATTCTGGTCCACCCATGTTTACAGACCGCGTCGTACACCAGTAATACTGCTGAATGCGGCCTCAAGGTGAGGTGGAGGTGAGGTGAGGTGAGGTGAGGTGAGGTGAAATTTGTGTTTAACGTCGTGCTTGAGAATATTTCGCTCATATGACGACGTGCATGCGTGTGTATGTGTATGTGCGGCTGCTTGTACTAGCCCAGACTTAAGCTGGTTTTATAGTGCTAGCCCACTGAGATACCATGCCGCAGTGAAGCATGAATACCCCACTCAGACACATTATACTGACTCCGAGCCGACCAGTCCTTGTTGTACCCATTAATGCCGAGCGCCAGGCAGGGACCAACAAGTACCATATTTTAACGTCTTTTGGTATGACGCGGTCGGGGATCGAACCCACGACCTTCCGCTCTCCGGGCGGACGCTCAAACCACTACACCACGGAGGCGGTCCAAACGAGGCCTCAAACAAACACATGTCATGATATAGTCTGAATAGTACAATCGACTCTGCTTTCAGCAGAGATGTCTTGTATTGGTATACTGTTTACATTTTGACACCTGGGACAAAACTAATTAGTTGGGATATGTTAACGAGGTTTGCCTAGTGTGAGGAGCAAGCTAGCTTCCTGTAAAGGAAAGTTTACACCCATTTTTCACTAGAGGATAAATAATAATAAAAAAAACAAGCAAATAATTATTCGACGGTTATATGTTTGATACCGATTTAATGGTTGTGGTTTCGACAGGACGTTCATAGTGTTTCCGCGAATATTTTAACGTATTATTAATGCTCACAATGTTTGTTGAAATGCAAATAGTGAGTGAGTGAGTTTAGGTTTACGCCGCACTCAGCAATTTTTCCGGCTATATGGCGGCGGTTTGTAAATAATTCAGTCTGGACCAGACAATCCAGTGATCAACAGCATGAGCATCGATCTGCACAATTGGGATACGATTACATGTGTCAACCAAGCCAGCGAGCTTGACCACCCGATCCCGTGAGTCGCCTCTTACGACAATGATGGGTCACTGAAGATCAATATTCTAACCCGGATCTTCACGGGTTGAAATGCAAATAACTACTTGAAACGTTATTACGCCTATTCGTTTAGTTTATGTATAATTGTCATCGTTCTTGTTCAACAAACTAGGGTACACATGATAAAAAACTAATGAGAACCAAATGGCCACGCTGTGGTACCTTGTGACTTCGGGAATGACGCTTATGCTATCAACCACGTTTGCCTGTTCAAAACTCGATAATGTACAGATCGACGTGAAATCTTTGCAATATTACAATATGTAAAACGCGCACTTCTCACTTACTACAGAAATACCTTGACGACGTCCATGACGCAAGTGCCAGTCTGAGAGATGAGACCATTTCCGGGTTCCCTAGCTTCCAAGTGGTTGACAAGTCAAATATTGGTCTTGGCTTTTTGTCCTACGGTGGCATGATGACAGGCGACACAAGAAGGAAATTCGGACCGTTCGTATCCTGTAACTAATTATACACATGGTAAAAGTATCGCAACACCTATTGAGATTTTGTTTTGTTGAGAAAATGTGGGGTGTTTGCCATACTTTTTTTTATGTGTATACGTGTTATAACGTTATTAAATGGCAACTAAGGAAGATGATACGTGGATTCATTCATGTGACTGAAATTTATATGTTGAAGCTGGTACCAAGAAACCTTTTCAGATCCACATTGCACATACAATAGTAAATGTCTACATGTCGGTGAATGCTTTGAGATGAACCTCTGTTTCAGATGGGGAGAAGTGATGACAGATTATAACCAGGGCATCACAGATGGGCCTCTGGTAATATTTGACAAAAACAAATCAGCAACTGCTTTCGTCATATCTCCAGCCAGTAGGTTCATGATCGCATCGATGTGGCACAAATCAATATTAGATATACAGGGAGCTGCTCACTGGGGCCCTCTGGGAACAGTTAACAATGTACCTAAGGACTTTGATATGACAACCATCGCCTACTGTGGGGGCCAAGGTATAAACAAGGTATGTGACAATAATTTCAGCGATTTAGTGTGTGATTGGCTTTGCTCTGTGTCAGAACTAGCCATCGTGCAAATATCGAATAGGGGACTTTGTGACGATTTTACGATTTTAAAATATTTTTTCATATTCCTCACTGTCGCATTTTTTAATGACCTAAAATTATTTGTATTTTATGTTTAACATTGTGCAAAATGCACTGAAAGGTTTGAGCTCTGGTATCAGAATAAGCGCTTCAAACAGGAGAAAGTAAGATCATGTGATATGCAAAAAGGCTTATGTCAGTGGTGTCATGTTATATGATTTCTTGGAAATTATTATCAAAAGTCTCCGATCTCAAATATTTTGAACATGGAACAAAGATATCTTATGTATATACACAGTCAAACAACGGGGTGTTGAATGGACCTATGAAATACTTCGTGTTATGCGAGGTTCGATAGAACCGAAAAATGATGATTTAGGAATGCGGGATCCTGCTTTTATATCGAGACAACCGTGTGTTCGACGCATTAAGGTTCGACGCAACGGGTTTGGGCTGTATTTGTTCTAATCGGCGTTAATCTACCTCTTTCTTCGCGTTCCAATCGTGGCTGTCAACACTGAACCATCATCTTTGTGTTGCAAGGCCTTGAAGACTGGGGACGTTCCTACAGCACTACTACCAGCGTGACGATCGTTACGTCAAGTCTGACCTCACTGTCAACTACATCGGATACTGGACTGATAACGGTACACCCACCGTCAGTACACACCCAGTACACCCAACGTCAGTACACCATCGTCAGTACACGTCAGTACATCACCGTCAGTACACCCAACGTCAGTACACCACCGTCAGTACACCACCACCGTCAGTACACCCATCGTCAGTACACCCAACGTCAGTACACCACCGTCAGTACACCCAACGTCAGTACACACCACTGTCAGGACACCCAACGTCAGTACACCACCGTCAGGACACCCAACGTCAGTACACCACCGTCAGTACACCCAACGTCAGTACACCACCGTCAGGACACCCAACGTCAGTACACCACCGTCAGGACACCCAACGTCAGTACACCACCGTCAGTACACCCAACGTCAGTACACCACCGTCAGTACACCCAACGTCAGTACACCACCGTCAGGACACCCACCGTCAGTACACCATCGTCGGTACACCCACCGTCAGTACACCACCGTCAGTACACCCATCGTCAGTACACCACCGTCATACACCCATCGTCAGTACACCACCTTGACACATTGTACATAGCCTGCATGTGTGCATTGGTTAACTGATCATGGATGCTCAATCCAGCTGTCTGCCCAGCTGTAGCTAGTCAGCTCATTATTAAAGGGCCACTGGGTATTTTGTGGCATGGGACATATTAAACAAGCGCCAATTGGCCGGAGTGTTGGAAATGTAATTAAAGTTTAAGAACATGTTTTTTATTACCATATCACACTGTTTGGATGTTTTATGTAAATTGAAAAAAACAATGTATAAAGATATTTAAAACTTAAAACAATGTTTTCATTTGAATGCAGGCTAGCTATTCTCGAAACGTTCGTAGCCCTACAAACTTCTTAAGCCCATTCGTAACACGTTGGCCACGATCAAAGTTAAGAATTCTTAGGGCTACGAAAGTTTCGAGAATAAGGGCCCAGGTGAGTAGGTTGGTTTCACAAAAGAGATAAACTTCAGATAATTTACCATGTAGGGAATAGAACCGAGAACTTCGGTGTACAGAGTGAACGCATATAATACCAGGCTAGCGACCAAACCGCTCTTTCATTGTGACAATGCCGACACTTCTCTCATTACCTCGATATAACAGTCATAATAACTATTACAAAAAAGAGTACCCTGTGTATATTTGTAAAATGCTCTCTTAAATGGGTTAACTATTTTTTAATACTTATAATTATCATTAATGATTAGGAACTGAGGATGTGAAGACCTCAAACTCAGCCAGAAATCTGGGAATCATCTTCCAGTCCAACATGTCCCTAGATGAATATGTCAAGTCCCTCTGCAAGTCATGTTTCTTTCACATTTACAACATCGGCAAGATCCGCAACTTCCTAGATACTGAGACAACAAAGCTTATAATGCAAACACTTGTAATCTCAAAGCTGGACTATTGCAGCTCGCTCTTTTGTAAATTGCAGAAAATTCAAAACGCAGAAGCTCGTGTGGTCTCTCGAACCCATCGCCATGACAATATATCGCCAGTTCTGAAATCCCTTCACTGGCTTCCAGTAAAGTACAGGATCTACTTCAAGATTCTGCTACTGACTCATTACTGCCTCTATGATGACCAGTCCTGTGACTACCTCGCCAGCTTGTACATCTGCATGTACCACCCAGAGCTCTTAGATCAATAGATACGTTAAGACTAACACAGCCAAGCACTAAAACCTCCATGGGTGATAGAGCCTTTTCTGTAGCAGCACCAGCTCTATGGAACAATCTTCCAGTCACCCTCAGACGAGTCCCAGTCACTTTTCAAGAACTTGCTCAAAACTTACTTCTTCAAGATGGCTTCCAAATATAACTCTTTTCACACTTATTTTGTTTTTAACGATGTATGCAGCGCCGTTGAGCATCTGTGATGGAAACTAGGCGCTATACAAGCCAATTATTATTATTATTATTATTACAAAGCCGTAAGTATACATGAATAGAAGTTATAACATATTGTTTCTGCGATTAAGTGTTAACATTTCTATGTTTCTCCAGGGGCTTACTACTACTATAACACTGTGCCCGGGAAAACCTATGAAGACACGATGCTTGATGTCGTGAACTATTTTCCACAAACTGGCATTGCATTCAAGTAAGTTGATATAAATTCTTCAGAAAGTGCGTTCACCAGTGTTTCAACAGCCTAACTGTTAAATGGGTATGCTTGTGCGAGGGTATAATTTGCTCTATAATTTACATAAGCATTGCTAAATGCGGCATGAAACAACATTACACAACATAAACCTAACTCGCAGTTGTTGTGCAATGGTGCTGTGGTCATCATGTAAATGAGAAAAGATAAGACGAAAATAAGGATCATATCAAACTGAAACTATACTCATGCCAATAATGGTTGTCACCCCCTTCAATTGTTTTTTATTGGAGAGGGGGTGTGGCTTGGTTGTGTGGGGTGTGTGGGGGGTTGGTGTGGGGAGTGGGGTGACATCCATTTCTGGCATGAGTATATATATAACTGTTGAATGTCATCCAATCTTTGTTGAAATCTCTTTATGTGCTTTTGGGCTAATTCTTTCCATGAAACAGAATCTAAAAAATGTTCTGTTTAAGTGATGTCTTTTAGTCTGTCAAAGCGTTTTCAAGGTTACGTTGCAGAAGAATTAAAGGAAGTACGTTGCCTTCACTAATACCATTATCGTCAAAGATGAAAGAGTATGGCATACTATAAAACAAGACGTTTTAATGCGTGTATTCGTAGTTAGATATCTGTCAAAGCAGCAAGAGCCAACAAAGGGTAACGTGTTATGTTGCAGATACATACAGTATGACTCATGGTGGTACTTCAAGGGAGTCGGGGACGGTGTAAAGACATGGGTAGGCCGTCCAGACATATTTCCCCATGGGATGCAGTAAGTTATCCAGCTCGTACATACAACACTGCTGCTTAAATGTAATCCTACAAACTGAACTGTACCACACGTTATGTATTAAAGAAGGTCTATCCGTGAATCAATTGGCTGCCCCAGGAGGATTGTCACAGGTTATTCAAATCGGCAGCTGTACAATGAGTATACGAACACAACGAAGGATAGTTGTTATTTGACTATTTAAACACAACGAAACATAGTAGATATTGACTATTCAAACACAACGAAACATAGTAGCTATTGAGTATTCAAACACAACGAAACATAGTAGATATTTGACTATTCAAACACAACGAAACATAGTAGCTATTGACTATTCAAACACAACGAAACATAGTAGATATTGACTATTCAAACACAACGAAACATAGTAGCTATTGACTATTTAAATACAACGAAACATAGTAGCTATTTGACTATTCAAACACAGCTAAACATAATTGTTGTTTGACTATTCAAACACAGCTAAACATAATTGTTGTTTGACTATTCAAACACAACGAAACATAGTAGATATTTGACTATTCAAATACATCGAATCATAGCTTGATTTTTGACCTATTCAATCACAACGAAACATAGTAGCTATTTGACTATTCAAACACAACTAAACATAATTGTTATTTAACTATTCAAGCACCACAAAACATAGTTGCTATTTACGCACAAATTAAAGCAATAATGTATTTTCTCATTTCAATGCTTTGAATTAGAAAAAAAACGTAAGTTGACCAGAGTTAGCGTCAACTGGCAACCACAAGTTTATATTTTCATATATTTCACTGATGTTTATATTTCAGGGATACAAGCGTATGGACAGTACTGTCCTTCAGGCCAACAGAATTCTGTTTGTCCAGATAACAGAGACTGGCTATTCAAATTAGCGCCTGTTTTAATAATTTGGCTCATAACCTAACATGTAATTACTTTGCAATACACACCCTTTCCCCACAAAGCGTAGATGCAATAAGCGCCATTATTGAAAGAGTCATATAGATTTATGGGATGTCATATCTGAATATGTAACAACAAGTGTTAATAGGTTTATTGTGTTGATGTGAATCGCAGTTGAAGTACATGATGTTAACACTATGCTAAAATAACTGGAAGTTAATACGAAATATGGAAACTGGACAACGACTATCAAACACCGAACAGAGCAAGAATAAAGTTTATGGAAGAATTACTTAAAACATTCGCCTGAAGGCAGCCGGTGGTTTATAATTAGCCACATGCAATACGCGAGAAAAGAAAATGGTTCATTCCAGGTGCACATGAACAGAACTCCTGAAAGTTGAAAATGCGAAGACTTTTATGCTTATATTTCTTAATACTGGCGCAACTCCACAATACTGATACTGGGAACACATCGATACTGCTAGCGTTAAACTTTCTTGGTTGGGTCTATATTTTCAAAATGAACGTTTTCTTGTAGATGGGTGTACAATAAAACTGGATTACCGGTGTCAGCACACAATAAGTTTTGGTAAGTGACTGAGTTCGTTTTTTCTGCTTCTTTGAGTTCAGTTATCAAGGCGTTTCACCACGATGTGGAAGGACAGGGGGAAGAAATTGTTACGTAAGAATGAAACCCTGAAGCACAGGGCAAATCCATAGTAACCAAGATGATTGGTTCGCCAGAAATGCAGGAACGTACTGTCGTCGTTCATTGAAGCTACTTAGAACAGAAACATTTACAAATCATTGATCTATTTTCTATTTTCTAATATACTACCCATCAAAAGTTTAGACTCACTAGTGTAAATATAGCCACTCACTTCAGTCAACTGTTCTGAACTAGATTTGCAAAATATTCCATACTGTTTAAAGATATTTTTCACACATGAACTGATGTTTTATAAAACAAATGTTGAAAAATCGATTGTCATGAGTTCAATAAATAATGAAACTCAGTGGAAATTGACAAATTCTTAACAAAACTTTACACCACAACGCAGCTGTTCACATGCATGATATTTGCACATGCTTTTCAGCAATTTGATGCATGACCCTTGTGCAATTCATCTGCATGAAGTTTGCAGTTGGTTTCCCCAAGTTAGTTGAGAAATTCATCTTCGATGTAACAATATACCGGTATATAGACATAACAAATAGTGAGTGTTTTAAATGAGTCTAAACTTTTGATGGGTAGTATAATGCAATATTCCCTGCATTGAACACATAAACCGATGGATCTTTCCAAATAGGAGAAAAATGGAAAACCATACTGTTGGTGTACATTTTAAAAGAATTCCTGAAAACAGCGACGGCTAAAATTCGCTTAATTTCATTTCTACTGTTTGATTAAAGAGAACACACACTGTGTGGTTTGGTTCTAATATATCTAAAATTCATGTACCCTAAAATACCTGAGTATGTTCTGCCTGTAGTGACGTTTAATATGGCACAGAACAGAACGTCCTGCAGAATTAAAAAAATATAGTGTGTGAGTGTGAGATGTGTTTTAAGTTTTTGTAATTTTAAGACTATCCTCTACGCGAATGCATGATATCATGGCTATCTGATTCCTAAGAACCTGCACCCGTTACAGTGGGAATTGTACAGTCGACTTCCGGCAGTGATGTCCCTGACAATAAACACAAACCTTTTAGTAGTTTAGAGGATGAAGTCCCTGTTGCATCCGTGAGCTTTATAACGTTTTGTTGAACAAATCAGAATCCAGCACGCACTTCCAACTGTCCTACAAAGTATTATTTATGAGTCAACAAATGCCATACACTTAGCACGAAAATATCTCTATTTGAACAGGTCGGGTGATACCACTTATGCTAAACAAAACGGAGGAAAGTACAACTTCATTATAGAGGGCATAAGAGCAGTTCCTGACGACCAGGTAACGTATCTCAACATACAGGTGATAAGATCACAATAGTGTCGACTTAAGGTTGCTTGTTGGTTGGCTGTGTACCGCCACATTCAGCAATAGTCTAGTCATACAGCGGCGGTACGCGATTTGTATGGATACATAATACATAAACGTTCATGCGCAGTACGTAATTATTGGACTTTCATTCTATTGAACAACTGAATAAGCAAGGGAAGGATTATGGTTTTATACCTTTTGTGTCAATATTTTCTCCAAGTCAGGGCGATGAAATAAAATTCTGCATGCAATATCTGTGTTGGATTATTAGGGTTCTTCAACGCATGTTAATTGTCTTGTTTTATTCGCAGACCTTTTGGGACGACCTTCTGAAGTCAGGGCGAGAATGGGGGTTGATCACGTATGAACAGGTAGGTCGAAACCAGCTGTTCTGTTATTGTTTTATCATTAATCATCCAGAAGGGAAAGGTCTTTGAACGACCTTTGGAAGTGATGCTCATGAAGATTGAGAATTTATGATGTCAACTTCTTCATTATTGACGTCGTGTTTCGCATACACAAGAAGCTGACATCCATAATTCTCACCTTTCATCCAGTACAGGTCTTTTCAGAATGCTTGGATAAGACATCACATTGCATACTACGGCACAGTCAATTGTCATTGTTGGAGCTTGTTATCTGCACTATCATATCCAAGACTTACTAATTACAAAGAGCTGGAAAGAGCTGGAAAGAGCTGGAAGAATGGTTTTTGGATGAAAATCAGAACCGTGTCCTCATGTCTTCTGATATCAAATAAACAATCGTTATGTTATATATCAAACTATTATCGACTCGTGTTGATATATTTCATTCTGCAGATATATTTTAATTATTCCCCAGGATTGGCTGAACCACGAGTTCCTGAACGTGAAAGCTCTGCAGACCAATGTTTCTCTGGGGGAGACGTGGTTAAAACAGATGGGGAAGGCAGGTGTAGACAACAATGTGACCATCCAGTACTGCATGTCCAACTCCAGACATATATTACAAGCTCTGGAGATCCCTGCTGTAACCCAGGTGAGGATATAGATTAAGACAGACTTGAATATATACCGTAAAGATACAGACTTGAATACATACCGTAAAGAGACAGACTTGAATACACACCCTAAAGAGACAGACTTCGATACTTACCGTAAAGATACACACTTGAATACATACAGTAAAGAGACAGACTTGAATACATACCGTAAAAACACAGACCTGAATACATACCGTAAAGATACACACTTGAATACATACCGTAAATATACAGACTTGAATACATACCGTAAAGAGACAGACTTGACTTCATATCGTAAAGTTACACACTTGAATACTTACCGTAAAGACTGCTGACTGACTGAGTTTGGTTTTACGCCGCTTTTAGCAATATTCCAGCAACATCACGGCGGGGGACACCAGAAATGGGCTTCACACATTGTACCCTTGTGGGGATTCGAACCCGGGTCTTCGGCGTGACAGGCCAACGCTTTAACCACTAGGCTACCCCACCGCCCATACCGTAAAGCTACAGACTTGAATACATACTGTAAAGATACACACTTGAATACATACCGTAAAGATACAGACTTGAACACATACCGTGAAGATACAGACTTGAATACATACCGTAAAGATACACACTTGAATACATACCGTAAAGAGACAGACTTGACTTCATACCGTAAAGAGACACACTTGAATACATACCGTAAAGAGACAGACTTGAATACATACCGTAAAGAGACAGACTTGAACACATACCGTAAAGATACAGACTTGAATACACACCGTAAAGATACAGACTTGAATACATACCGTAAACATACACACTTGAATACATACCGTAAAGAGACAGACTTGAATACATACCGAAAAGATACACACTTGAATACATACCGTAAAGAGACAGACTTGACTTCATACCGTAAACATACACACTTGAATACATACCGGGATGACTTTATATTGTCTAATAATCCCTAAACAGCTGCTATCTGTGATTGTGTCAGTTAGAAATACACGTATAATCACAGTGCAGTGATGAGGTAAATTAGTCCAAATGAAACACTTATGTAACATAACTTAGATGAAAATTGTTATTGTTCAAGTCATCAACGTTCTCTGTGTGTCAAGGCGACAATAAAGTCATCGGCATTGAAGGAGACCAACACATATGTATGCTAAAAGCAACGTCACCTTTGATTAAAAACACAGGGTATTGTGGACCAATTTGTACCCGGAATCCATAAACTCATACCAAACTTATGACGTATACCTGTTTGGGTCGTAAAAAATTGTCCTAAGTTGCAGTTTGTCCTTAGTTCCAAAGTACTTCGGAAGCACAATTAAATCGTTGTGACCTTACACTGATTCCGGTTCGAAAAGATCAGCAACGCCTGATAAATGTAAGCGGAAGTTGGACAGGGGTGGTTTCTTGTATGGCTGTCTGTCATCCTAACCCGATAGCCTTGGTCGCTGTGTATGCTTCAAGCCACTGCTACAGTCGTACAATCTATTGATCTATACCTAGCTTAGTGATGATTGTGAAGTTAAACTTTCATAGTTTCACTCATAATGTTTTATGAACTATGATCGTTGTCGTGTTAGTCCTGTTCATCGTTGCCACCATCTCCATCGGGGATTTGTCTTCATCAGACTCCCCTGTTGATTCTCATAAGTCACTAATGCCTCATGTATTATATCGACCAAGAAGGCAGGCGAGGCCTACTGTAGGCGTCCGAACTCGCTATAGATATCTGTAGATGTGGTGTCAAATTTATCTCCGGGGAAAATATATAGCTTTCTTCAGGTTTTGAGTGTTTTATGTACCCGACTTTAGATAACAATTTATTCATAACCATATTCCTATCAATCACTTTGTCATGCTCACATTATTCACAAATGGCTCGTATGTTTATGTGCCACATCTAGTTAAATCCTTGACCAGCAAAGAACAGCGTGGGCAAATATTGAAAATATAAAATTTAATTCACTAGGCACCTTGAAATGTATTAAAACCATTTGGAACCTATATTTCTATTAGAATTCTTGTCTTACATCCTTGATATAGACCCGTGAAGGTCCGGGTTAGGTGGAACCTTCAGTAACCCATGGTTGTCGTAAGAGGCGACTAACGGGATCGGGTGGTCAGGCTCAATTGCGCAGCTCGATGCTCATGCTGTTGATCACTGGACTGTCTGGTCCAGACTCGATTATTTACAGACCGCCGCCATATAGCTAGAATATTGCTGAATGCGGCGTAAAACTAAATTCACTCACTCCTTGATATACCAGCGTGAACTGTTAATTGTGACAGTTCCAACACATGCAATATATTACATGGTATGTATTTGTTTTCCTAAGGCCCGTGTCAGTAATGATTATCATCCAGGCTTGGAACAATGGAAGATCGGTGTCTCATCAATATTCGCCCACGCCATGGGAATCAGACCGTACAAGGACACCTTCTGGACGACGCGATATCAACCAGGAAATAAATATATTGGTAAAATAATAAACCCGTATACTTTCCTCGCAAGAGAAATATGTGTTGATTATCCTGTGTACAGAATAAATCAGCCTGTGTAAAACCTTACATCTGATATCGTCAATGTTAGAATACATTATTAATAATTAACACATATTATTTTATCACAACGTTTTGTGTTTATTATATTTAACACATTTATCACATATTTTGTATCAGTGACTTACCAAGTCACACACAGATATTCATCGTTTCAGGAGGAACATCAGAACCCAACACGGAGCTGAATGCCTTGATAGCTACCCTAAGCACTGGTCCTGTGGGACCGGGGGATATGATTGGGGCATTCAACGAATCAATAATAATGAAGTAAGCAGTATACCTTGACGTACTCCTTACAACACAATGCGATAAATCGGTGGTCCGGCAACTAAAATTGGATTGTGTTGGGTTGCATCCCTCAAAACAAATGGCAAAGCTCGAAACTATTAATAATTTTAGCCTGATGTTTCATAATAAGTCTAATGGTTGTTTAGGCCGTAGAGTTCAACGCTAACTGCCGGCAAAAGTGGTACATACTTAAAAACTAGATTGGCTGAAAAGATTATGAATCATGTTATCAAAATGTGGAGTAGAATGTCGCCGAAACACAATTTAAGATCTAAACATAACCTTGATATTTGTTTAAAATTCATCACCATCGGATAACCGTTTTGTCATTTTGACCATCATTAAATATTCCAGTAAACGTCCTTTTGTGAGTCAGTACACATGCAAGTGGATATTTAGATAGTGTTTAGTTGACTGTAGAAATCAAAATGTCTGATTGTTCTCTGCGGTTGACGTTTACTGTATTTTACTATTACAGAAAGGTTTTGGTCTCTTTTACTGTTGTAAAGAATGTTTCGTGTTTTTTTCAGGAGTGTCAATGCCGAAGGGAAGATTCTGAAACCATCTAAACCTGCAACAGCCATAGATAATCAAATACGAAGGGTAATATGCTAATCGATTATCAGTTATCACCTATACGTATATAAGGTTATCGTATCGGTGAACATATTAGCAGAAAATCTCACAATAATGCTTGCGTCGTGCTGATTGTCTCACTCTTTTGTTGTCGGTGTTTTCGAAGTCGTTAACACATTGCCGATGACGTCGTTGTTTGGCGTCTCCCTGACAACCGCCCTGTATTGACTATTAACTTTTATCTCAGGACCCCACATCGACAATACTTCTTTTAGAAACAAAGGCATATCATTGTATTGAATCTGTAGAGTATTAGTTAAGATGAATATATACTTCTTGGCTTGTGATTTCTTAATACATGAAAAGAAATGGGCTTTGAGTCTATGGACAGAGGGCCGAACTCTGAAAATAATTCAGCGTTGCAGTCGAACCTTGCTTACCCGGACACTTGTGTATTCTCAACTATTGTGTGGATACGCATAGGCGGATCCAGGGTGGGGTGGGGTGGGGGTGGTTGGGATTTGTGTGTGCAGGGGTGCGCACCCCCCGTTTTGTGCTGAAAGTTTGTTAAATGACCATTGAAACGCGGGTAAAATTGAAGTGTGCACCCCTCCTTTTCTCAATAGTGTGCACCCTCCCCCCTTTCTCAAAAAGCTGTATCCGCCCCTGATACGTGAAGTTTAAGATGTCTGAAACCTTTGCCAGTTACCTCCCTTACCAACATTCTCAAAATGCATATATCCCATACAAACAACTCCATCATATAATGTATTAGATTATTCGGGTATTTTGCAGAGTCAAAAACTTCATGATATCCCTTAACAAATTCACCGGAACGATAGGGGCAACAAATTTGGTCAATAAAATGTGAAATTTACGCTAGCTTATCACTTGACATGATTTGTACCAAAATCTTAGCATAACAATGAATCGGTCCATTCATCTGGCTAGACCATGTCTATGTCTAATAACCCAAGGTGCAATATAATAACTATGTGGTATTTCAATTGTGAAAATTTACTCCTGTGGGTGAGTCGGGTTTCTGTTTACTGCAGCTGGCGTTCGGCGCAGATTTTAACGGCCCGTCTGGGGAGGTATACACCACTTACTGCGACCTGGGTGGAATATGGAAGTTTGGTATCATTCTGGCGGCTGATCTCCTGGCAGGGTACACGATATCCCCAACAGATGCAGGCTTTCAGCAGTTAAAACAGGTAGTTAACAACAGATGGAAGTGTAAAACTGCTAGTAATAAGTGGTGGCGCGTGGTCCTGTGCTCAAAGCTCAGGTCACAAATCGGTGAAGTTAAGCAGCGTCGAGCTCGGAGAGTCCTTGGATGGGTGACCGTGTTTGGCAGCTTGACTCCTGAGAGTTTCTAGGACTTGAGTCCTGCCCCACAACGAAGCACATGTGACACATGTGGTCTCACCTTAGGCAAGTGAGTTTGTTCAAAATTGTCTTTGTTCACCCAGCAGGAAAATGGGTACCCGGTGGAAAAAGTCATACTATAACCTTCTAGCGCCTAACAGGCAGCTTGGGTTATCCGGGGTAATAATGTGCTGTGCCTTGATTGTTAGCGCTATGAGCATACCTAGTGTGAAGTTTGGCGCTATATAAATGGACACATGATTATTATTATTAATATGCAATCACAGGTAAAACAGAACTAAGTATGATACACAGGTACAGTTAACGTACACCTACAGGTAAAATACAACTACATTTATCAGGCGATCGCGTGTGAAATTCTGATATTGTGAATTCGAATCTCGGATGAGACTCAAATCGAAAAAGTAATGAAGTCTGTACTTAACTGAAAACATACCATATGTTTCATTTAATGGGCAGATATAGGAAATTCACAACTGCAGGTGGATGCAATTGTATGAAATTATTATCTGTAGATAATAGACACATACGGTTAATAAACACTTGCAAAGGCTCAGCAAATACAATGAATTGTCAATAACAGGTGAGTGGAGGGGCCGGATAAGACAGGATGGTCAAATCATGCACAGTTATACACTGACCAGTCTAGTGCATCCAGGACAGTCAAAAGCAATCTACATCAAGAAACATCCAGAAATCATATACACATCATATACAACACCACTTTAAAACGACAACATTAAGTATACTGAAGTATTTGGTCTTGACCTTCTCACGCACTTTCACTCTAAGGTACAAATGCACAAAAATGCGGAAGTTCTTGAAAAAGTAAATAGTAATATTTAAAAACATTTATTTCCCTTTTCTGCAGTTTCCGACCAGCAGAGTGTTTTCACACAGAAGCACAAGCAACATCGACATCTTCACCGATGAGAGTCCCCTGGAACTATCTGGCTGTTCAACAGTTGACTTCTGTCTATACTACACCTCACCGACCATAGCTATGGGCGACAAGTAAGTAAGAGAATAAACGGTGGTGCAATAATCTGAAGTATGATTAATATTTAATAGATAAGAATGTTTTCATATTTTCGTTATTGATTTTCGGTGTTTTTGAGTGTTGGATACACGTTCAGTGTTATCCGTAGGACATATCTGTCTGTAAGGGTTATGGTTAAAAAGGTCTGTGTACGTAACGCAGACATATACAAATATAAACCGTTCTTTCCTGGTCATTGACCATTCAGCTTTCACAAATAGTACGCTCGACTGCTTATACATAAATGAATTGACGCAAGATCCCTATTTACAGCGGAATGTATTAATGATCATTAATAATTTCCGCTGTAAATATGGATCTTGTGTCAAGTTTATGAATGTGTCAGGAAGGAATGAAGGAAAACGAACTGCCTTGTCAATGTAGAAGTTTTGAACTTCGAATCAATTCCTGTTAATTTTTATATATTATCATAAACAATATTTTTTATCACTCTAATGAAGTTTACAGGTGTTGAATGTTCGTTCGACACATGTGAATGACGCTTTCTACCAAGTTCTAATGCTCACACATGCAAACTTTGCACTAACGAAAGACTCGAAAGATTAACGGTTTATTAATCGATAATCGTTTTACGCCGCTTTAGTAATATCCCAACGTCATCACAGCGGGGGACACAAGAAATGGGTTTCATACGTTGTACCCATGTAGGCAATCGAACCGGCGTGACTAGCGAAGGCTTTATCTATCCGTCTGTCCCCATCAATGATTCAGAGAAAACCATACTACCCACGAAGAGCATTATAATGTAAGCATACATATTTATATATACATATTTTCCAGCACCGTCGTTGTCGTCCTTGGGGAGCTGGATAAGTGGGTGCCGATGTCTCCACAGAGGGTAGTGGGGATCAGCATGGACACTGATGTGACTATCCGCATTACTGGTGCTCCCGGGGAGAGGGTCACGCTCTGGTTCAGCCTCAATGACCAGGTTGTCACTGTTAAATGCACCGTTGGTCCAAAAGGGTTTGCTACTATTCTCGCCAGAGCACTTACATGCGCTTCTGAGTAGCTGTGGTTGTTAATAAATTATTTTGGAGACTTTACTGAAACATTGCCTCCTCTTTTTGAAACAAACCAACTGCGAGTGCTTGTTGACGTGAACCATGTGGAACCAGCTGTTTCTAATCTGTGACCCGTTTACAAATACTACCCTTGAAGATCCGAGTTTGAATTGGTGTTCAGTAATCCATGCTTTGTCGTAAGAGGTGACTAATGGGATCGGGTGGTCAGGCTCACTGGCTTGGTTGACACATGTCATCGTATCACAATTGCGTAGATTGATGCTCATGCTGTTGATCACTGGTTTGTCTGGTCCAGACCCGATCATTTGCAGACCGCCGCCATATAGCTGGAATGTTGCTGAGTGCGACGTAAAACTAAACTCACTCACTCCTGTTTGAATGCTAGATGACGTGAACCATCTGTGGTCAGTTGTATGTCTTGAAGTGCTGAGTTTCTAATCTGTCACTATTGAAGACCCGGTGCCAAATACGTAAAGCAGATCTGAATACCGTTTGTGTCGTTTTTCTTTCTTATGCGGTGCCCTTTGAATCATGCAATGATTAGAATTGCAGGTTAGAATTGGTCCTTAGCAACCCATCGATCATTATCACATCACAAGACATGCTGGAATATGAAAGGGTGTGGCGCTAACCAAAACTATCTGTCCAGGCGACCTCCCCCGACACACACACACGCACGCACGCACGCACACACACACACACACACACACGCACACACGCACACACACACACACACACACACACACAAAAAAGCTCAAGGAATGCTGTATTGGCTGGATATAGTTAATGAGTGACCATCTATAGTCTATGAACCCATTTTCCACAGACAACGATAAATACGCTGTGAATCAATATCTAAACTTGTCAACTGAGGAACAGTATAACTGGTGTAACAAAGATGGGTGAGCAGACGTTGGAACAAAACAGTCAACACGCCGCTAATTGAACCAGCTGTGACCAGTTAATTATAACACCTGGGAGTAAATTAACTCAGCACTCTCAGAGTGAATAACGTCAGTTCTGTTCGATGTGGAGCAAATGGCACTGTAGACCTATCCCACGAAGTTTCTTGGACTGAGGAAGAATTACCTCATCTCCCTGGTATATACAGGTATTGCAAATGTTCTTGACTATTAACAATAAAAATATACTTGACCTGATAATAACAATGATAATCTTGAGAATGAGTAATTCCTGGGTTACAAGGAAAAGGGATAATTGCTACAGTCGTGGAGTGACACCAGATGTACGTCAGAACAAGATCAAAACTGTCCCATGTCTACCTACTGGCTAAACTCAGTTTCGTACGACCACCAAGCAGTGGGGCCCTCCGCAACGTTTAGCAATTCCTTGTAGTAATTTCACTCGGTAGCTATGAACTATTTCAGTTAGAAGCAATGACCTCGGTGTAGACATCCTAGCTGAAAGAACTGTATGTCCTCGGAAGTAAACACAACTGTTCCTCCTACAGTGCGGATAACAAACCAACCGCTGTAACATTGGAGATATATATTTAAAATAGCGTGAAAAAAGTTAAATAACGATACCATTAATCGTTTATAGCTAGATATGTTGGTTGGATGGTCTATTGTTTAACGTCGCACTCAGCAATATTCCAGCTATATGTCGGTGGTCTATAAATCATCGAGTCTGGATCAGACAATTCAGTGATCAGCAGCATGATCATCGATTTACGCAACTGGAGTGAGTGAGCGAGTGAGTTTGGTTTTACGCCGCTTTTAGCAGTATTCCAGCAATATAACGGCGGGGACACCAGAAATGGGCTTTACAAATTGTACCCATGTGGGGAATCGAACCCGGGTTTTCGGTTTGACGAGCGAACGCTTTTAAACTACTAGGCTATCCAACTGGAGCTGGATATAGACAATTAGTAAGATAATGTAGGACTATATATATGCATGAAACACATCAACTCGTGAAAACAACAATTACTTAACACATTCGATATGTAACGAAGCATACACACAGGAGCTAACGTATATGGAATGAAAACCTTGCACTTAGATGATCATAACTAGAGGTATATAGAACAGAACCTATGACCTTCCGGGAACGGTTAAAGGGACGCAACTCTGACGATCCCCAGATTCACGAGGATATACTTAATGACTGTGTGGAGTATGTCAAGTGACTGGTCTCGTGGCAAGATTCCGTTTGGTTTAAACATTCTGAAATTAGAAGCACAACATGGAGTTGTTCACTTGAATCAATAAATCCATCCACACCTTCTGAAACTGCTTCTTGGCTTCTTCGTAAGCCAGGACAATGCTATGAACTCATCGTTCAGAAGGATATTAACCCAAATATGGTGAGAGCGATTGCTGAGGATTTTATTCAGGAACGACATTCAGATTTTACGCACATTTATACTGACGCCTCCAACGATTGAACAAATATAATCACGAAGAAATCATTTTTACTGATTCACTGTCAGCCATAAAGGCCATTGAGTCTGGAGTAAATGGGACCAGAAATTAAATTGTTTATCAAATTTTGAAACTGAACACAAATTTGAATACTAAATACTAAATATCTCATGTGATAATGTATGGGTACTAGCTCATGTCGGTTTGCTGGGTAATGAAACAGCGGACAATCTTGCCATGTCGGGATTGCTAAAGGATGAGGTTAATAATTTTGAATTCAGGCCTTGCCATTGGGAAGTCGGTCTCCATTTAATGGCAAAACTTGGGGGATGTTGGATCTACTGGAAGACATATATACAGACTCTGCCCTTCAGTAACACAAAGTTGTAAATTTTGCCGTCGTAAGAGACGTGATGAAGTTGTTTTAACTAGGCTCTAAGCGTTTTGTATGTTTAAAAATCTATTAATTACATATTCTGTTCGAACAATCGTCGAAATATATAACTAAAGTGTTGATAACATGATTTTACGCAATTGCACAAGTAGAAAATCGACTTTTACGACAATCGACATTCGTTTTGAGGCAGTTTCAAGGTCTAATTACTACGCCACGTCTTGACGCTGCGACACGGAACATCGCCATTGAAATAATGCACGCTAGAGATTACCAATCTATATACATGCGCCTATACATGTTTGAAATTACAACATTTTCGCAACAGATTTCTGGTTTTGCGTTTCTTTTTGCTTTTCTTTTGAATAATATATTTGTTTGCTTGATGTTTTGAAACATACCATTAAGCAGAAGATCCTGTCATTTCATCAAAATATCTAGCTAGTGAATACAATTGTTTTTGGCATGATAAACATAAACATTTGCAGTAGGCCTACTTATATTTATGATAGCTCAACTTCAATTAATGTGGTGGGCGCGAACATACCCTACTTGAGGTCTAGGTCGCCCTAAAACTAAATCACCACCACCACCCAGATACACGAGGAAGTGATGAGTACAATGACTGATCTGTAACGATGTGCAATTAATTTTATATACCTGTTCTATTTTAGAACATTAATCATATCCTCATGTATACCGAAACCACAAAAGAAATGTCGTATTGACAGGGCTTTCTTAAAGCACACACTTTAATTCACTCTAATTAACAATCAAATAAGAGGACTGAGTTCAAACTTGACAATTATGGTAAACACAATTTCGGGAATCACATTTAGAGTTCACACAAACAAATCACCAAAGATACCCCAAAGTCAGTATTTTGAGTGGCCGCTGTGGGCATCGATCAAATCGTTGCATCGTCGAAGAAGGCCATGGGCATTTGGATCCATACACTGCGAAATGCCTGATCGAGTCCAGCCGCTGTTGTCGGCCTTGGTTGGAGGCCATTCAGTCTTCTTTGAATTTCATCCCAAATGTGTTCTACTGAACTTAAATTCCGAAAAAGTCCAGGCTATTGTAGGGTTTGGATGCCATGTTGTCTTAGGAAGTCCAATGTTGCTCTGGCAGTGTGGGCACGATCGTTGTCTTGCTGGAAGATGTGATTTCTGTAACGTCCAAGATCTGGTACAACGTGGTCTTATGGTTTAATCAATATAGCGAGCAGCTGTCATGTCATTTCCTCATCCTAGACCAAGATTCTGGAACACCACGGTGTCAACTAACTGTTCAGACCGATTGCACCCCACACTATGGTGCTTGGACCACCCCACGAGTCTCTTTCAACAATACACTCATTGGAAAACATTTCACCACGCCCTCGCCATACTCTCACTCTGTCCTCGACTGTCGAAACACTATATTGGCTGTAATGAGATAACATCACAGTTCTCCATTGTCGATAACCTCAATTTCGATGCTGAGTTACACATTTTGGTCGGTTTTGGCGGTGATGAGCGGTGAGGACAGGACTACAATATGATCTGTGACAGCAGAGGTGTCTTCCGTGTAAACGTCGACGCACTGTATCGGCACTGATGGGTGTGTTTTGAGTCAAAAATGGTCTTGCGTGCTGTTTCCGTCGCTCTTGGGAAGCGATCCTGCAGATGGTTTCTCACAGCGTCATTCTTGACGTTGTGATGTTACTGAAGGTCGCCCACTGCGTTGACGGTCTTGAATGCTGTTAGTGACCCGATACCACTCCTGCTGTCCTAACATGAACATTAAAATGATTGGCTACCCTCCGTGCAGTCTGGACAACTTGCAACCGTCCCACGACTTGGTTCCTCTGATCTCTCGTAAGACGTGGCATGGTGGTTGTGTCAAAACAAAAATGATTTCAGTCGAGCTTGGGACCCGCTTTCATTGGTAGGGTTGTCACGACATGCATTTTCATTTTCACGAATGTCATACGGAACCTTTTACCATGTCTGCCTTTTTCGGTGCGTTTGGTCGATATGCGTTTTCATCAGAAAACCCACTGATGTTGGTAATAACTGTCAATTTGGATTAAAAAGGATGTTAAGAAAACGGTACAAACATAATAAAAACACCACCTTGCAAGAAAATTTTTTTGCCTTGGTTTTGCAAAGCAAAGTTTCTTTTGTGGTTCAGTATATAATTACATGGAATGGCCAATATGATTTGTTTGTATGTTGCTGAACGCCGCACTCACGAATATTCCAGCTTTATGGCGGCAGTCTGTAAATAATCGAGTCTGGACCAGACAATCCAGTGATCAACAGCATGGACATCAATCTACGCAACTGGGATACGATGACAGCGAGCCTGACCACCCGATCCCTTTAGTCGCCTCTTGCGACAACTGTGCGGCTCCACATCGATAAGCGGAATGTTATCAGAATATCAAGTACATGGAATGCTGAGGGCTTCAGACAGCCTCGTCTGAATTGTTCAGTTTAATCTATTTTAAAGTTCATTTCATTCCAAACCGCCGTTGCCAGCAAAACCAAAGATAACCGCAAATGGATTCGCAAAATTATAACCAATGGTAAAACAATGTGAGGTCAAAGTCCTTGCTGGCTATCCGGTGACCTCTCGCTACTATAACCTGCGCCTGACATGATAGCTAATCAGCACCTCGGCGCAGTCACTTTACAGTGAGGGACCAGCTGTGATACAAAATAGATCTTTTATGCCGGTATGTTAAATGAGCAGGAATTGCTCGGGGTTGGGGATGTGTTGGGGTTGTGGTTTTGGGATTTGGGATTTGGGGTTGAGGGATCGGGATTGTGGTTGGGGAATCGGGATGGTGGTTGGGGAATCGGGATTGGGCGGTTGGATTTGGGTTTGTCGTTGGGTTGGGGATGGTGATGTGGATTGGGATTGGGTTGTTTGGAAGCTTGGAAATATAGTCGAACCTTATAAACACGCATTGATTAAAAATATACTGGTATTTTGGAGGAAGCAGTTTTCCTATTTCACATATGGAAATCATGTAGTCTTCTCCTTGAGAAATTTAGTGTTGCGTTGTTGCGTCTCTTGATTATAAGTACCCGAAACTAAATCAGCCCGGTGAATTTAAAACCCTTCAATAACACATTTTTTCCGAATTCAAATTCGAAATCGACACTTCATTTTTAGGTCAAGACCTTTGCTGAAGAAATGTTATGTAGCGTCTCTATTATAATCACTACCAAACGAATTAGCAGATAAATAAGGAATTCTAAAAGTATCACATACGGTGCTATACCAATATCATGAGGACAATATGCTCAATCTTATAAGGAATCAGTATACAGCGTCAAAATCGTACTCCGTCTATGGATAATCACATAGCAGTGACGTCAACAGACCGAAGGATAATCACATAGCAGTGACGTCAACAGACCGATGGATAAGCACATAACAGTGATGTCAACAGACCGAAGGATAATCACATAGCAGTCACGTCAACAACCCGATGGATAATCACATAGCACTGATGTCAACAGACCGAAAGATAATCAAATAGCAGTGATGTCAACAGGCCGAAGAATAATCACATAGCAGTGACGTCAACAGACCGAAGGATAAGCACATAACAGTGACGTCAACAGACCGAAGGATAATCACATAGCAGTCACGTCAACAGACCGATGGATAATCACATAGTACCGATGTCAACAGACCGAAGGATAATCACATAGCAGTGATGTCAACATACCGAAAGATAATCACATAGCACTGATGTCAACAGACCGAAAGATAATCAAATAGCAGTGATGTCAACAGACCGAAGGATAGTCACATAGCAGTGATGTCAACAGACCGAAGGATAACCACATAGCAGTGATGTCAACAGACCGAAAGATAATCACATAGCAGTGATGTCAACAGACCGAAGGATAATCACATAGCAGTGATGTCAACAGACCGAAAGATAATCATATAGCAGTGATGTCAACAGACCGAAGGATAATCACATAGCAGTGATGTCAACAGACCGAAGGATAATCACATAGTAGTGACGTCAACAGCCCGATTGATAATCACACAGCAGTGGCGTCAACGGACCGAAGGATAAAGATATAGCAGTGATGTCAACAGACCGAAGGATAAGCACATAGTAGTGACGTTAACAGCCCGGTGGATAATCGTACAGCAGTGACGTCAACAGCTCGATAGATGATATTACCATAGCAGTGACACCAACAGCTGGATGGATAATCACATACCTTTGAAGGTAACAGACCCAAGGATAATGATGTTACAGTAACATCACTACCTGGTATCAAAAAAATGTTTATCAGAGTGTTCTGAAATCTGATACTCATACCATGTCACTCATGTAACAGTCATGTGAGCTGAATGATTCGAATTCACTGTATCAGTGATATCAGCAGGCTCATGAATATTCATGTAACTGTTCTAGTAGTAGAGATAAACAGTCGCCGCATGATTACACTATGGTATAAATATAATATCACATCCATGTCGTACACAAGTCGTTCCTAATTCTGAGTATGCACATTGCCATTTAAAAAATGTATGATAATTATGTTTTCTAAACATAGAGTCCATGCAGGATTTTTGTCCGGAAAGAGTATTTATTTACGTTCTATGAAGAAATGACACAAGAACGATCCTTACAATTATGTCATACATTTTTAACTGCGCGATTACATTATTTTGATTAGATAAGGCGGTGTACGCCTTCGTGTAGTCATAGCTTGAAACACGTTGGTGCTTTACACATACAAAGTCTCGTAATGCATGTGTCGGATGGGATCACAGTGCAGTCGTGTGCGAACATTGATATAAGTGGGGAGTAACATCGTGGTTATCTGCATCGTGCTTTTCGTCTGTTTCAAGAGGGTATAACGCGCTTTGTTATCTGGACAAAGTTCAGGCCCTGACTGAGCTATTGTCAGTCACAGTGGAGACAGTGGTCTGTGTGGCAGTAACGCTTGTCGTGTTGTAACCGATTACACAGCACAGACACGTCGAGCGAGGGACGTCGTGAACATCACATTCTGCACTATAGGGTAAGATTATTAACGACAGTCCTTGAACGATTGCTATAACAAACTATTTAAAGTCTACAAGACCGATGGTAAATTTCTGGACGCCATTGTCTGGTATGACATAATGTATGTGTATCTATACTGTTTAAAAAAAGTAGGGGATCACGAAATATTACTGTGAACACCAGGTGTTGGATCAAAGAAAAGTGGTGACGAAAAACATATCGACCAAAAAATATTATTTATGAAAAAAAACCCACACATCGAAATACACCCTATATTTTGACAGGACCGCAGAAGCGCCTAATGTGTCATGTCTGGTTTCCGTACATTTAAAAGGTCGATTAATCTCTGTGGATTATTATTTCTGTGTATCATACTGATTCTGGTTGTCACACAGTTGTGATTTACGCTAGGTTCATACACAGCTCCTGTATGAACCATCGATGCTTCGTCGGCATTGCCTGGGCGGTTGGGTAGCCTAGTAGTTAAAGCGTTGGCTCGTCACGCCGAAGACCAGGTTCGATTCCCCACATGGGCACAATGTGTGAAGCCCATTTCTGGTGTCCCCCGCCGTGATGTTGCTGGAATATTGCTAAAAGCGGCGTAAAACTAAACTCAGTCAGTCAGTCAGTCGTCGGCATTGCCAAGAGCTTCTATAAGTTATTGTCGTACAAGAAACTGGCCGATGGTCAAAACGTTCAATGTTTTACGATCTGTGACTAGAACACTATGGAACAGGTTACTGGAATACCAGCAGTTAGAAATCGTGTTAATGAACGATTCAGTTGAGGGAGTCCAGTGACAACAAGAAGAGTGCAAGACCGATTGATCAGAAATTAGGCTCTACGGAATCCAACTCACTGCAACTTCCGTAAGGCTGCTGGAGAACCAGCAATTAGAAATCGTCTACAAGCAGCTCATCTTAATGCTCGACGACTACGCGTTGTGCCGCTCTTTACAATAGCAGTAACCCATAAGTTTTATCGATAATCACATAGCAGTGACGTCAACTGCCTGATGAATGTGGAGCACATTGGTGTAGTGGTTAGCATGCTGGCCTCTCATGCCAACGGCCCAGGTTCGAATCCCGGTGGAGACACCAAAATTTGTGACCTGGGTCTCATACTGTGTTGTGTCCCTAGGTAAGGCACTTCGTCCACATTGCAGTCAGTCCACCCAGCTGTTCACAATGGGTACCTGGGAAGCGGATGTACGGACCTATACGGTCAGCAAAGCGCTTAGTAGCGGCTTTGAAAGAACAATTCCGTCAGGGTAATATTGTAACGCCAGAGAACAGCCTCGTGTTGAATTCTAGGAGCAAAATTAGCATTAGTATTAGTATTATAATGACATAGCAGTGTCGCCACCAGTCCCATAGATGATCACATAGCAGTGACGCCAACAGTCCCATAGATGATCACATAGCAGTGACGCCAACAGTCCCATAGATGATCACATAGTAGTGCCGCCACCAGTCCCATAGATGATCACATAGTAGTGACGCCACCAGTCCCATAGATGATCACATAGCAGTGACGCCACCAGTCCCATAGATGATCACATAGCAGTGCCGCCACCAGTTCCATAGATGATCACATAGCAGTGACGCCAACAGTCCCATAGATGATCACATAGCAGTGTACCAGTCCCATAGATGATCACATAGCAGTGACGGCAACAGTTCCATAGATGATCACATACAAGTGACGCCAACAGCTGCATGGATAATCACAAAGCAGTGACGGCAACAGTCCCATAGATAATGACATAGCAGTGACGGCAACAGTCCCATAGATAATCACATAGCAGTGCCGCCCCCAGCCCGATAGGTAATCACCTAGCAGTGACGCCAACAGCTTGATGGATAATCACATAGCAATGACGCCAACAGTCCAATGGATAATCACATAGCAGTGACGCCAACAGCCCGATAGGTAATCACATAGCAGTGACGCCAACAGCCCCACAGATAATCACATAGCAGTGACGCCAACAGCCCCACAGATAATCACATAGCAGTGACGCCAACAGTCCCATAGATGATCACATAGCAGTGACGCCAACAGCCCCACAGATAATCACATAGCAGTGACGCCAACAGTCCCATAGATGATCACATAGCAGTGACGCCACCAGTCCTATAGACGATCACATAGCAGTGACGGCAACAGTTCCATAGATGATCACTTAGCAGTGACGCCAATAGCTGAATGGATAATCACATAGCAGTGACGCCAACAGCTGCATGGATAATCACATAGCAGTGACGCCAACAGCCCCATAGATGATCACATAGCAGTGACGCCAACAGTCCCATAGATAATCACATAGCAGTGACGCCAACAGTAACATAGATGATCACATAGCAGTGACGCCACCAGTCCCATAGATGATCACATAGCAGTGACGCCACCAGTCCCATAGATGATCACATAGCAGTGACGCCAACCGTCCCATAGATGATCACATAGCAGTGCCGCCACCAGCCCGATAGGTAATCACATAGCAGTGACGCCAACTGCTGGATGGATAATCACATGGTAGTGACGCCAAGAGTCCCATGGATAATCACATAGCAGTGCCGCCACCAGCCCGATAGGTAATCACATAGCAGTGACGCCAACTGCTGGATGGATAATCACATAGCAGTTACGCAAACAACTGGATGGATAATCACAAAGTAGTGACGCCAAGAGTCCAATGGATAATCACATAGCAGTGCCGCCAACAGCCCGATAGGTAATCACATAGCAGTGACACCAACAGCTGAATGGATAATCACATAGCAGTGACGCTAACAGCTGGATGGATAATCACATAGCAGTGTCACCAGAAGGTGGATAGATAATCACATAGCAGTGCCACCAGCAGCCGGATGGATAATCACATAGCAGTGCTACCATCAGCTGGATGGATAATCACATAACTGTGCAATCAGCAGCCGGATGGATAATCACATAGCAGTGCCGCCACCAGCCCGATAGGTAATCACATAGCAGTGCCGCGAACGGTTGGATGGATAATCGCATAGCAGTCACGCCAACAGCTGGATGGATAATCACATAGCAGTGCCGTCAACAGTCCCATGGATAATTACATAGCAATGACCCCAACAGTCCCATGGATAATCACATAGCAGTGCCACCAGCAGCTGGATGGATAATCACATAACTGTGCAACCAGCAGCCGGATGGATAATCACATAGCAGTCACGCCAACAGCCGGATAGGTAATCACATAGCAGTGCCGCCAACAGCTTGATGGATAATCGCATAGCAGTCACGCCAACAGCTGGATGGATAATCACATAGCAGTGCCGTCAACAGTCCCATGTATAATTACATAGCAATGACCCCAACAGTCCCATGGATAACCACATAGCAGTGCCGCCAACAGTCCCATGGATAATCACATAGCAGTGACGCCAACAGCTGCATGGATAATCACATAACGGTCACGCCAACAGCTGCATGGATAATCACATAGCGGTCACGCCAACAGCTGGATGGATAATCACATAGCAGTGGCGCCAACAGCTGGATGGATAATCACATAGCAGTCACGCCAACAGCTGGATGGATAATCTCATAGCAGTGACGCCAACAGTCCCATGGATAATGACATAGCAGTCACGCCAACAGCTGGATGGATAATCACATAGCAGTGCTGCCAACAGTCCCATGGATAATCACATAGCAGTGACGCCAACAGCTGCATGGATAATCACATAGCGGTCACGCCAACAGCTGGATGGATAATCACATAGCAGTGGCGCCAACAGTCCCATGGATAATCACATAGCAGTGGCGCCAACAGTCCCATGGATAATCACATAGCAGTGACGCCAACAGCTGCATGGATAATCACATAGCGGTCACGCCAACAGCTGGATGGATAATCACATAGCAGTGGCGCCAACAGCTGGATGGATAATCACATAGCAGTGACGCCAACAGTCCCATGGATAATCACATAGCAGTCACGCCAAAAGCTGGATGGATAATCACATAGCAGTGGCGCCAACAGTCCCATAGATGATCACATAGCAGTGACGCCAACAGTCCCATGGATAATCACATAGCAGTGACGCCAACAGCTGCATGGATAATCACATAGCGGTCACGCCAACAGCTGGATGGATAATCACATAGCAGTGGCGCCAACAGCTGGATGGATAATCACATAGCAGTGACGCCAACAGTCCCATGGAAAATCACATAGCAGTAACGCCAACAGTCCCATGGATAATCACATAGCAGTCACGCCAAAAGCTGGATAGATAATCACATAGCAGTGACGCCAACAGTCCCATGGAAAATCACATAGCAGTAACGCCAACAGCTGCATGGATAATCACATAGCGGTCACGCCAACAGCTGCATGGATAATCACATAGCGGTGACGCCAACAGTCCCATGGATAATCACATAGCAGTCACGCCAAAAGCTGGATGGATAATCACATAGCAGTGGCGCCAACAGTCCCATAGATGATCACATAGCAGTGACGCCAACAGTCCCATGGATAATCACATAGCAGTGACGCCAACAGCCCCATGGATAATCACATAGCGGTCACGCCAACAGCTGGATGGATAATCACATAGCAGTGGCGCCAACAGCTGGATGGATAATCACATAGCAGTGACGCCAACAGTCCCATGGATAATCACATAGTAGTGGCGCCAACAGTCCCATGGATAATCAGATAGCAGTGACGCCAACAGTCCCATGGATAATCACATAGCAGTCACGCCAATAGTCCCATGGATAATCACATAGCAGTGCTGCCAACAGCCCCATGGATAATCACATTGCAGTGACGCCAACAGTCCCATGGATAATCACATAGCAGTGCTGCCAACAGTCCCATGGATAATCACATAGCAGTGCCGCCAATAGTCCCATGGATAATCACATAGCAGTGCCTCCAACAGTCCCATGGTTAATCACATAGCAATGACGCAAACAGCTGGATGGATAATCCCATTGCAATGAAGCCAACAGTCCCATGGATAATCACATTGCATTGGCGCCAACAGCCCCATGGATAATCACATTGCAGTGACGCCAACAGTCCCATGGATAATCACATAGCAGTGCCGCCAACAGCTGGATGGATAATCACATTGCAATGAAGCCAACAGTCCCATGGATAATCACATTGCATTGGCGCCAACAGTCCCATGGATAATCACATTGCAGTGGCGCCAACAGTCCCATGGATAATCAGAAAGCAGTGCTGCCCACAGTCCCATGGATAATCACATAGCAGTCACGCCAACAGCTGGATGGATAATCACATAGCAGTGCCTCCAACAGTCCCATGGATAATCACATAGCAATGACGCAAACAGCTGGATGGATAATCACATTGCAATGAAGCCAACAGTCCCATGGATAATCACATAGCAGTGGCGCCAACAGTCCTATTGATAATCAGATAGCACTGCCGCCAAAAGCTGGATGGATAATCACATAGCAGTCACGCCAACAGCTGGATGAATAATCACATATCCCTGCCGCCAACAGTCCCATGGATAATTACATATCCGTGCCGCCAACAGTCCCATGGATAATCACATAGCAGTGACGCCAACAGCCCCATGGATAATCACATAACAGTGAAGCCAACAGCCCCATGGATAATCACATAGCAGTGCCGCCAACAGCCCCATAGATAATCACATAGCAGTGACGACTGACCGATGGATAATCACCCACACGAACGATCATATAGGACTGACACCAGCAGCCGAATGGATAACTATGAGGCCCGATGGGCAATAGTGTATTTCAGGAAGACGCCGCCAGTGTATCCCCAACAGCACAGAATCCACAGAATACCATGGTCAGCAATGAACGCAGACCTTTTCTCGTTGAACATGATAAGTAAATGTACCCATCACGAGCCGCCAACCGCGCCGACTGAACTTGGTCAGGCGCTTTGCGACGAGTGGGACAAACTAAAACCTCCGGATCATGGGGGATTATAACAAGTACTGCCTAGTAATATGTATCTATTACCAGATAGATATAAGTCAAGTCCTATAAACTCTCAGGAGTCAAGCTAAAACTAGCTAGTGTGTCCGTAGCTAGCTAGCTAAAACTAACTGATGGATCCTTGGTTACGAAGAAAATACACGTCTGGTTTGGGCGGATTATTTACCCCCAAACAATGGTTTTATTAGAAAGTGCTTTGATACTGACTGACTGACTGACTACTCACAAATATTGTAGACTTGCATTTTGGGCAATCTAGTTCCTGAAGTACTTATCTAAATCTAAACTGACTACACAACCGCAGTGTCAACAGGCTCGCATCCGTTTCCTCTCGTATATGCCCATAAATATTTGCAGTCAGAAAAATTAATGATGTACTGTTGCAGTGTAGATCACAAACACAGAATCGATAAGTATATGGTACGTACTTCAACGTCATGACTTGTTATAAAGTATGCCCTTAGTGTAACCTACAGTGGTATCTGATACCATATCACGGACATCCCCAACCCACCCACTTGTACACAGATAACTGACAGGGGTGTTTCCAGACCGACGTTGTATTGTAGGATTTCATCTATGCAGCGTCAGGCTGGAAATATTTGCATTTTGGGGCAAATCACTTAAATGGCGGATGCTACTGGCAGAGCAGAACTTGTTCACCCTTTCCACGAAGACCTGGTGTCATCACTGAATTCCAATGGTCAATTGTTATAGGTTTCACTGTTATTTTACGCCCAACATCAAATGAAATCTGATTCTTAGGATAAACAATTCAGAGGAATTTTTTAAAGATCAGTTGTACCTTCAGAGATTATTATTATAGGAGATTTATATAGCGCACATATCCACGCAGCTAATGCATGCTCAAGGCGCTGGTATTTATTAGATATTTATGTAATTTTCACAGCTGTTTTCACTGTACACCGAACGGATTTTGTTTCTGGGGATAGTCAAGATTGGGTTTCCTTTTGCACTGGCGTTTTACATTTTCTCCGCACCTTGATTCTAGGAACGCGGGCTATATTACTCAAGACAGGTATATCAGCACCATCAAGGAAGTATGATAAGCCGTTATCTAGAGCCACGGTACTCTGCCGTATCCTCTACTTGAAGCCATACTGATAGAAGCAAGATAGGCAGGTTTGTGCAATCTTGTGGACAGCCTGGCATAACTTGCAACTTATACCACAACGCTATAACATAATATGTGAATGTTCATCTCGTATCTTCTTGAATCTGACTTCATAAAATAAAGGTTCACTAAAATAAGCCGCTAAGTTGATAAAATGCTCACTCTGTGAGTTGATAACATGTTTTATGATTTTTTGTCATTATTTGGGAATGGAAGTTATGTAGATCTTAAACTGGATTACATTTTACTTTTTTTTTTCTTCGATGGGCATTTTAGAAGTTTAGGTGATGAAGAATGATGGCAATTTTTATTCACAGAATGAAAGAAGTTGTATATCCATAAAAACTGTCCTCATTCTAGATTTTACTTTTTTTAAACAAGACGAGAAATTCATCTTTGATTTAAGTTATGACTTGAATTGCTGAGATAATGTGTTTACTGAACAATTCATTCAACTGATGCACGGTCGATGACAAAGGAGGAATGGTTTAAAAGTCCACGTTAACCGAACTGTGTTAGGCGCTGCACGAGGAGGAACCGTTACAATACACAGCCGGTATGTTTTGTGTACTGTTATGTTACACCTATTTCCATTTATTACCTACGAGGGCGAAATTATCGGGGTTCATATTTTGCAAAATATGACCTTGTCATGGTGACGTGACGTCATGAACAATGATATGACGTCACGTTTCTTCTATGACGTTACGTTCTATATGCGGCGACGGTGGGTAACCAGCCTATGTTTGAAAAAAGTAGATTTTGGTTTCTTTTCCTCTATTTGACGACTTCGGTAATAAATAGAACATTATATTCGTGCACATACCATGCTATGTTTACGACAATCGTACCTAAATATCGGTATATCCCTCTGAATATCGAAATGCCAAACATGGGCATGGGCACTCATATAATATCCTTTATATAGTCCATATCTTCTCCACGCGTTGCCGTAACTGTATACCGCTTTGCGTTTCCGAAATAACTTGTTGTTTTCTTGCTATTCAATAAAAATGTTGACTATGCTCCTTCTACATGTAATTCTATCCAGTAGGTTTTATAATGCAATTATTTTCTTTCATAATGGTTTTTCACGCCAAGGGTTTATTACAGGCCATCGTGATGTACAGAATTATGCTGACAACGGTCAACAGCAACAAATCCATTAAATAACCCATTTAAAGATTTCAATTTGTGTTTCGCTGTCATTTAGTTGGCAAGTGCAATTCAAAGTTTATAAGTAAAGGGATCACATATTGTGCTACATAATGAACTCGCTGTTGTTTTACAGATTCAGAGATATCATCTGCACTGACGATGTTTCGGCCACGAAATCTGCCGAACGGCGACGTCCCGGGGCAAGGGATAGACAACGCATCATATGCAGACAGCATGGACGACATGGACGACATGGACGACGGTGTCAGTTATGCAGACAATGTTGAGTCTGATCGTGAGGAACAGGAACCGGAGGGGTTTATCAACCGAAGTGACCTCGACAACGGCCTCGGCTACGACACCGAGGGGAATAATGCCAGGTACGTTGTTGCTATGGAAACACATTTGTATCTGGACCTGGAACAGGTACCTTCTTGAAATTTAACCAATTTCACTAATTGCCTCCAATTTCGAAGATCTGGTGTCCCCTTGTGGAAACAGTTGTTACAGTTCGTGGCGGAGAGTAAGTGGGTGAGTGAGTTTGCCGCACTCAGCACTATTACAGCTATATGGCGGCGGTCTGTAAATAATCGAGTGAGTGAGTTAATATTAACGTCACATCGGTAATGTTTCAGCCGTATCGTAACGTAAATAATCCCAGACAATCCAGTGATCAACAGCATGAACAGCGATCTACGCAATTGGGATACGATGACATGTGTCAACCGAGTCAGCGAGCCTGACCCATTAGTCGTCTCTGGATCTTCAAGGGTATCGTGGCAGGGAAGACATGTTCAGTTAACCTTGATAATGTTTTGTGAGTCGACAGTACGTGAAGCTCCTTATATGTACCTCGGTCTCTCTTGGTGACTTGGGTATGAAACTCCTCTCCCGGAATGTGTAATTTCACATTCATAAGTCGACCACAATTAACACTCAACGAAATATGGTTTGGAATGTGTCGATAGACCTGTTATTTGTTATATCTGTACTATTCTCTGCATGAGAAAATACCGATTCCGGGGGTACTTTCAATAGTGAGTGTGGGTTGTACGACGCACTCAGCAATATTCCAGCTATATGGCGGCGGTCTGTAAATAATTGAGTTTGGATCAGACAATCCAGTGATCAACAACATGAGCATCGATCTGCGCAAGGTACTTACAATACGATAAGATAACACAGAAGACACATATGTGCTCTTCCGACGGTTAAACTCTAAGAAAATAGTTGCAATTTCGCTGTGTAGTTAGATTACGCTGCAGACTTTCCTGCTTCTAATCACGTCTTCAACATACGTTTTCGTGAAATTGTTCCATCATTAAGGTAATTGATGGGGAAAAATAGATCTGTCATTGTAAGGTGATGTTATATTATCAATTCAATTGGTTAATGAGGTCAAATATTTGAAGGTAAAATGGTCAAATTAGGTGATATAATTGTGATAATGTGCCAGAATGGTGGTGGTGTGGTGGTGTGGTGGTGTTGAGGTGTTGTGATGTGCTGGTGTGTGGGTTCGTGCATAGAGCTCTGGTCACAAATTGGTTGAAGTTAAGCAACGTTTGTCACAGAGAGTTCCACATTATATAGGCAAGTGACTTTGTTCAAAATTGTCTCTGTTCACTCAGCAGTGAATGGGTACCCGGTGGGATAAGTCATATGACGATGAACCTAATGCTTCTCAGGTCAGGTTTCTGATGTGAAACAAGGTGGCGATTTCCTAACTGCTGAGAACCTTCTCTTGCAGACCTAAAAGTAACTGGGACGTTTTCCAGATAGTGCAACGTATGAGGGGACAGGTGCGTACTCTCCGCTTCTGGAACCGCGTGCACGTGGGAGTCCGACTCACATTTTGTATCATTCTATTCCTCCTTGTCCTGGGTACGGCAACATTCACCAAGCTCTGCTTTCTCCTCATTGCCTACAACATCAACAACCACAAAGCCAGGGAAGCCTCCCTGTCGGATACAGCACAGGAGGTGACGGTCACAGTACCATGGATTTGGTCTATGCTGATCCTCATCACAGCGCCTTACATCTTCACCATTTTGAGAAATACGTTCCGAGTCATCTTCAAGAAGCAACGGAAACTGCAAATCATTCCCTTCCTCGTGGTAAGAAGTTTTGTAAAGATCGTACATTACGTTTGTTGCATCTCCTTTGTCAGCATTGGGATCAGGGCCTAGATTTTCGAAGCTCTCTTATCGCTAAGATAGTCGCAGGTTAACGTTAATGTATGGCACTTACGACTATCTTAGCGCTAAGAGAGCTTCGGAAATCTAAATGCCGTTGAAAGCACTAATGATGTATAGCTAATGCCAACAAATGATTTATGTTCCTTTAAAACAAGAACTTTATGAACGTCAGTGAAAATGAATACCTAGTCTTTACTATTCTCCTGAATACATTCCGTCTGGTGTACACGGAAAATGGATGTGTAAATTATATAAATGGATCACTGAAAGTACAGCTGATCTGATTTTTTCTTTTGCAACAGGTCATGCTGTTTGAAACGTTGCATTCCATCGGGCTATGCATATTCGTGTTCATGGTAGCTCCCAACTTCGATCCCGTCCTGGTCCTGATGCTGTGTCAAGGAGTGGGACTTGTGCCTGCATTCAATAAAATATTTTGGACTCGAAAAGATGACACAGATGACAAAGAGGACAAAGCTAACACCCACGAAGAATTTGCTTCGCCGTTTTGGAGGTCAGTATCTGTAATAACCTTCTTACTTCAAGGAGGGTTCATAGGTGTGGCTACGTGGAAGTGTTATAGGGAAACAGCCAGACCTTCCGTCACTGTAATCCTGCTGCCATTATCCCTTGTTCTGATTTCCTTGAGATGGTGGGACAACTTTGTACAGAGAAGGAAGTCTCACAAATCTTCCTTTAAGGAGAGACTTGCCAAACCAGAGCCACAGTCGACTTTGGCCAAACCAAAGTCGTTTACGGAATTACTCAAATCCATCGACAAAAACAGAGTTAAAATAGATTTGTTGGCTTCATTATGGAAATTAGTATTAACTTGTATATGCCCAGTCATCATGTTTGGGTCAAGAGGACGAGGTTGTTGGGACACATTCATGTTTAAGGCCAAAAAGGAGTCGGATGCGGTGCGTTCATTGGCTATACGAATCTGACGCTTGACAACCAGCTCACCACTGACTGTAGAAGCTACCTGCCCTACATTGTTGCTTCTTCGGCTGTAGTACTGTGCGGAATTGGATACAAAATGGCAAAATCAGCATGTAAGATCCGTTCGCAGGTGATGTGTTTCTCCTTGCCACTTGCCCTGTGTACACCATTATCTTGCATCGTGCTGCTGATTACTATATTTTTCACCGATCGTCGAAAACATCGGGTGCGACTTCGCTTGGATGCCTTCACACACCGCTATGTTCGAACTCTTGAAGACCTACTCTGGTACCAATTATTTTCCAATCATATGTGGCGGTTTCCTGTCGATTTTGCTGGTGTGTGCACATATATGGGTCCCCAAGGCAGACAGAGTGGCAGCAACTGACAGGTATGTTTCATTACAATTTTGTGTTTGTGATCTTTTATGCATGCAAATGTCTGTATGTTTTCCTCATGTCAATAGTTTTGTATGTTTGTTTCGTGCATGCCTTTTATCCTGTAACCTACAAGTGTGTGTTTTTTATCCTGTTCACCTACAAGTGTGTGTCCTTTATCCTGTACACCGACAACTGTGTGTCCTTTATCCTGAACACTGACAAGTGTATGTCCTTTATCCCGTACAGCTACAATTGTGTGTCCTTTATCCTATACACCTACAAGTGTGTGTCATTTATCCTGTAACCTATAAGTGTATGTGCTTTATCCTGTACACCTACAAGTGTTTGTCCTTTATCCTGTCCACACACTTTATCCTGTTCACCGAGAAGTGTATGTCTTTTATCCTGTACACCGACAAGTGTCTGTCCTTTTATCCTGTCATGCTACAACTGTGTGTCTTTTATCCTGTACATCTACAAGTGTGTGTCTTTTATCCTGTAACCAACAAGTGAGTGTCGTTTATCCTGTCCACCTACAGGTGTGTGTCCTTTATCGTGTACTCCTACAAGTGTGTGTCCTTTACCCTGTACTCCGATAAGTGTGTGTCTTTTAGCCTGTAACCTAGAAGTGTGTGTCCTTTATCCTGTAACCTACAAGTGTGTGTCTTTCATCCTGTACATCTACAGGTGTGTGTCCTTTATCCTGTACACCGATAAGTGTGTGTCTTTTATCCTGTCCACGTACACGTGTCTGTCCTTTATCCTGTAACCTACAAGTGTGTGTCGTTGATCCTGTACATCTACAGGTGTGCGTCCTTTATGCTGTAACCTATTAGTGTATGTCCTTTACCCTGTAACCTACAAGTGTGTCCTTTATATTGTCCCCGTACAAGTGTCTGTCCGTTATTCTGTACACCTACAAGTGTGTGTCTTTCATCCTGTACATCTACAGGTGTGTGTTCTTTATCCTGTACACCGATAAGTGTGTGTCTTTTATCCTGTCCACGTACAAGTGTGTGTCCTTTATCCTGTAACCTACAAGTGTGTGTCTTTCATCCTGTACATCTACAGGTGTGCGTCCTTTATCCTGTAACCTATACGTGTATGTCCTTTATTCTGTAACCTACAAGTGTGTCCTTTATCTTGTCCGCATCCAAGTGTCTGTCCTTTATTCTGTACACCTACAAGTGTATGTCTTTTATCCTGTACACCGACAAGTGTGTGTCCTTTATCCTGTCATGCTACAACTGTGTGTCTTTTTTATCCTGTACATCTACAAGTGTGTGTCCTTTATTCTGTCCACTGACAAGTGTATGTCCTTCATCCTGTACACCTACAATTGTGTGTCCTTTATCCTGTCCACCTACAAGTGTTTGTCCTTTATCCTGTACACCTACAAGTGTGTGTCTTTTATCTGTACACCCACAAGTGTATGTCCTTTATTCTGTACACCAACAAGTGTGTCCTTCATCCTGTACACCTACAAGTGTGTATCTTTTATTTCTCCATCTACAAGTGTATGTCCTTTATCCTGTACACCGACAAGAGTATGTCCTTATCCTGTACACCTACAAGTGTGTGTCTTTTATCTGTACACCGACAAGTGTATATCCTTTATCCTGTCCACCTACAAGTATGTGTCTTTTATCCTGTACTCCTTCAATTTGCTCTATGCAAGCCATTTTGTTTTTCCAGACAACATCGAATGTTAACAGCTACTATGCATTTAAAACTGCTTTACAGAAAAGAGACAGTGGTTGCTTGTTCAGAAATATTGATGTGTGTCTCATGTTATGTTTGTAGACTGTTCAACCGGCCTCTCTATTGTGGTGTATTCTTCGATACATCATTGATGATGAACAGACGGTCAGATGACAGCATCAACACCCAAAAGAGCGATTCAAGAAACGTATGTTTTTCCTACTACCTCCCGTGCACCTTAACATATATACTGATTCGTGATTTGAGTAATAATGTCCTAAAATCTTACTAGTCGTTTGCTGTTAAGTGGACTGACTGACTGAGTTTGGTTTTACGACGCTTTTAGCAATATTCCAGCAATATCACGGCGGGGACACCAGAAATGGGCTTCACACAGTGTGCCCATGTGGGGATTCGAACCCGGGTCTTCGGCCTGACTGTTAAGTGGAACAGAGAAAGGAAGATCTGGCTTAGGCTTTCCTAAGAGAGAAAATGTATGTCCGGGGGTAGGAAAAAATCTGTCTAGGGGTAGGAAAGAAATTTCCAAGGCGGTTATTTCCCCGTGGAAAATCTGGCAAGGAGAACGTTTCAGCCTGTAACGTCGGGTCTTCTCGGGACTAAATCGATGTAATTTACATACATGTGGGCAAATGTTTCAGCTTATGGTTTGAGTCTTTATGCATTATTGATGATTTGGCGGATACCATTCTGTAGTCACATACTTCTTTAAGATAAAGATCAAGTTGAAGTCTGAATACCTCCTGTGAGATATACATAGGTCTTCTCTATGTACCAGGGCGTGGAGTCATTCCACAGATGACATCCTTACCTTGTCAGCTTGCTGACGGGGTTAACCTCTTTGGTCATGTTGCGTCCAACTTCGGATTAGAAGGTCCGTGGTTCGAATTCTAGCATGGAATAGTTTTCTGTGTAATACTAGATCTGAGTTGATACACATTCCACTCTGTGTACACTGCTTCTGATGTTTTCCTCTTTCAGAAAAAGGTATATCATCATAATACACCGGAGGAGAACTATTACAACCATTATTCCAAGGTCCCGTTGGTGTACATCTGTGTCACAATGTGGCATGAAACAAAGGTCGAAATGCTGCAACTCCTTAAGTCGATATTCAAGTAAGTATACTTTGAAGTCTTCATTTTGTGTTGATATAGTTTATAGATAAAGGAATCTCGATGTTTAATGGTTTCAAGCTGGACAAAATCCTCCTCTGTGAACCTTTTTCGTCTTGAAACTGATTATAATTCATCACAAATTCAATTCTTCAAAATATGAACACTGATATCCTTGGGATAAAAAATGAACTGCGATTATAATGGTCATGCATACGGTAGAGATACAAATGGAAACCCAAATTTCGTTTCTTTTCAGAATGGATATGGATCAAAATTCGCGTGCACAAGCCCAGGACATACTTCAGGTCCTGGATAAAGACTTCTACAACATGGAAGGTAGATAGAATGCTGACGAATGCTTGGCTAATAGTTTGATTCTATTCAGTACTAGACCATACATCTGTGTATTACTAGTTCTACATCTGGGCCTATATTTTCGAAGCTCTCTTAGCGCTAAGATAGTCGTAAGTGCCATACATTAACATTAACTTACGACTATCTAAGCGCTAAGAGAGCTTCGGAAAATATAGGCCCTGGGACGAACATTAACACAGTCCTGAGATATTTCACCACATTTACGAATATATGCTTAAAAATTCAGAAACTTGACATCGACTTTCAACGATGAACCTAAGGTGAACAGCAATGTGGAGGACATCTGTAGGGAGGATATATCTTCACTGATGCTGCTGCAGGTGTACCTGGCAGACTTTTAGTCCTGTCAAGGACTGACGATTGTAACGGCTTGCTCAGAGGAACATCCAACGAGAACATCAAATGTAAAACGGTCGCTAATCATGCTTTTCCTAAATCGTGCCAATCACATTGTATTTGGCAGTATTCCAAAGAAGTGTAAAAGTATGATTCCCTGGTGGATCCTCAAGGTGGTTAGATGGTTTGTTGTTTAACGCCGCACTCAGCAATATCCCTGTAAATAATCTGGACCAGATGATCCAGTGATCAACAGCATGAGGATCGATCTACGGATTTGGGATACTATGACATGAGTCAACCAAGTCAGCGAGTCTAACCACCAGTCAGTCGACTCTTACGACAAGATCAATTCTAACCTTGATCTTGACAGATTGTTCAGGGTGGACCTCGGCATGGGGAACAGTAGCTGTAAACAGCGAGCTAAAACAGCGAGCCATGCTACTGTGTCATTTAAACTGTGCTGTTTGTGCCAGGAAAGGTCATCCACTGCCAAGGTGTTGAACATAATCAGTTCATATCAACATTCTCTCGAAGAATCACGTTCCAGAGATTTTTTAGTGTGAAGTTGACTAGTCCTCACGGCAATAATACAGACACTTATTTCACTTTTAAGACCAGCCAACTTCATCTCGGCAATTAGTCGGCTGGATTGCTATTCAGTTCCACACACTGCATATATACACGGTACAGTGGGTTCCTAAAGGCCTATCCTTAAATGACCGACGCTGGGCAGACTTGGATAATGACTTCACCTGGTTTACTCCCATAGCAGTATACCAGATGACTGTGACGCATGCAAGCAATAAATGGTTGCAGAACACGTTGTGGAATGTTCTCCCACACTAGGCTTCAGTGTCTGTAGAATTTGCAGAAGAATCTGGAGTGGTGAATTCCTCTAGAGATCCAGTTAATCCCATTCATGTTTAATCGGGGACAAATGAGGCTAACGGGCAGGCCAAGGTAATGCGTGAATCTGTAGAGACTCATCCTGCTAGAACAGTCCACCGTTGACGTCTTGATATCTGAAGACCGCCACATGCACAAGAACCGTCGAACCATCATGACGGATTCCTGTCTACACCATCACACTACCACTACCGAAATATTCGACTTGCTGCACACAGTTTGGAGCATAACGTTCCCCTCGACACTATATGCACGTGTGCATCTATCAACATGTTACAGGAGAAAACAAGATCAGAAAAGTCGTCTACCTGGGGTGTGTCCTACTTGCTTGATGTTGGCGCCTCTAGTGAGTGAAGTGGGGTTTGAAAGTTACATCGCAAGGTCTGCCACCATCAGCCGATTACAAACTCTCTGGCTGGAACCTTTGCGTTGTCCTCCTATTGCTTCCCTTCGGTAGTCGCTGTTGTGATTCGATTTCAAAGATGTCACAACCGGATGTATCGAGCTTAAGTGACGGTGGTTTTACGGTTAATAAATTGCTGTGACAAAAGGTTTAAGAGTCCCCTTTGAACCAGCAAAATAAAACTAGACAAGTCAACTAGACAATATTCAATAATATATTGAGCAAACAATGAGCAAGCTACAATGAATGACAACACAGATATTTAGTACAATGCAATTGAGTCACAAATCTATAATATTGGGTCACAAATATATAATATTAACTCACCAGAGTCTTGACATTTACAGTGAGAGCAGATATACTGATTAAAGGTTGTATACAATGAGAGTAGACGAATAGACAGGGACAGTAAGTCTTGACAATGTTGATCAACGATGGCAGACAGATGTACACAACTCCAGTGATATGAAAAGTACGTGTAATTCCGTGTGTCAACACAAGAACCAGCCTTTATATATACTGACACAGAGTCAAGAATATTCTTTATCCGCTCAGAACATTCACGAAAGGCGTCGTAAACACCAGACGTGTCAAGACCCGGAAGTCAAAACAAATAGTTATACAAAAGATTGCCCCAAGGGAGGCAACTCTGAAGCGCTATCAAAAAGGTGTACCACTAAAAAATACTATTGCAATTGAACATACATGATACAAGATGTGAGCCGCAGCCCACACTCAAAACTTTAAACATTGTGACCCATAATAACTATCACTCAATCACTGTTATTACGAATTACAAAAAACACACTCTCGTAACAGTGGTTATTCTGCGACGCCCTGACGTTGGCCTGTTGCCGATGTAATAGACTTTACTGTCCAAATATGCATTAGTATCAATTTGGATTGAAAGTTAATCAGTTTTACAATACAATTGTAACTTGTAATATTTGTCAGTTGTTTTTCTGTTTCACACATTACTCTGTTGGTACAAGTTTCTAAGTAAACTGATTGTTTAAACTTGGAAATCAACACTTCAACACAGGCTTGCTACTCAGTTCGCTATATGTTACATTAGGATTTTGGATGTTTCAAATGATCGTAGCTTATTAAGACCGAATGAAATATGTTGGCATTTGATCTGGCTGCTTGATAACACGGATGGTGGTTGAATCATAATTACCATACATTGGCTGAGGACAAATGCTGATAGATCTCAACAGCGGTTTCAGTATGCCCCATGTATCAAATGCATTTAACAACCAATATATATCAATTTTATGGACTGTGAATGATACCAACACATCTATATTGTTTCTCTAGTGTTAATACAGAATATATATTTCCTGATCATCCGAGTCCGAAATGAGGGTTGTAATATCAGCTCTATTTAAGATATACTCTCGCCCACAACAGGAAACGTTTTTATGCTGTTTTTTTTGCAGCACATATAATCTTTGACAATGCATTCGGCGACGAAGAAAAAGGAGAAGACAAGTATTTGGTGAACAGCTGGGTAAAAGATTTTGTGAGCTGCATCAACCAGGCAGTAAGGTAGGACTTCACATACAGTGCATATTGCCAGGTGGAGTATGATTGCGTCGTGTATCAAAGTACACTAGAAACATGTCAAAGCATCTGGCCAGACCAGAATTCAACCCCTTTAGAATCACCCTACCTAACACAACCAGCAGACTACTAAAGCATCGAGTGTCACAAACTAGAGTAATTAGAAACCCCATTTTAATGGAAACAAAATTCATATGCTAAACCTTCCTTGCTTATAACGCTTCATGGGGTGGTGGGGTAGCCTAGTGGTTAAAGCGTTTGCTCGTCACGCCGAAGACCCGGGTTCGAATCCCCACATGGGTACATTGTGTGAAGCTCATTTCTGGTGTCCCCTGCCGTGATATTGCTGGAATATTCCTCAAAGCGGCGTAAAACCAAACTCACTCACTCACTCACTATAACGCTTCATACATGCTATCATTGCCTCAGTCTCATAATCACCCATCATTCATAATTTTTTTCCCATCATACACCCGATCACGAACATAATACCCCTTCTTATACTCTTACATAAACTCTCACGGTACTGTAGTGACTGAGTGAGTGAGTGAGTGAATGAATGAATGAATGAATGAGTTTAGTTTTACGCTGCACTTAGCAATATTCCAGCTATATGGCGGCGGCCTGTAATTAATCGAGTCTGGACCAGACACTTGGAACCGATGACATGTGTCAACCAAGTCAGCGAGCCTGACCACCCGATCCCGTTAGTCGTCTCTTACAACAAGCATGGGTTAATGAAATAATTCTACCCGGTACCTTCACGGGTCCACGGTACTATAACATTGGACAGACATTTGGCTGAGCATAATGATCTAGAAGGTTATGAATACACAAACCCATTTGGACAGTGGTAGAATGTCATACCAGGGATTGCACTTTTTCAGTAAAGTACAGGTTCTAGTACTTTTGTTAGGATGAATCCCATCTGGGATTCGAACCCTGACTCTATGAAGCCTAATCGCCAGCACACAAAGTCAGCCATCTAACCCACTCAGCTATCTCGGCTTCCAACAAATATAACATGTTATGCTGAACCAGAACTATATAATCCATACGATTGCATGCATTCTTATTGACAAATGCTAACGGTTATATGTGGACTTTTTTTTATAGTGAAGTCTACTTCTCCATTACATGTCTAAATCCCCCTGTGAGGATTGCAACACCGTATGGAGGACGCCTGGTATGGACATTGCCAGGGGAAAATATTCTAACAGTTCACCTCAAACACAAGGACAAGATTCGGATTAAGAAGAGGTGGAGTCAGGCAAGTCAATTCAGTAGCACTCCAGCAGTGGAAATCCTCTAACTGATGGTGTCATACGGTAAAATTATAATACTCACATCAGAGATACAGGGCATACAGCCAACATGATACACATATTTCACACTGGTTGCAAACTCGCACCTTTCAAATCAATTCTCATACACCCCAAGCTATTTTACACAACTTGAATGACAACATGATACATACCATGGTCTCTCATCCCAGAAACCTAAGACACATAAAACACTCACTGTTCCAGCTTCCATGTCCCTGCTCCAAACCTATCGCCCTCTAAACATAAAAGTATACATTGACCAGTTGTGATCTTGACAGCAACCAGCCATTGATACCATATTCCCTTGCTCCCCGTACCCGAGAACCAGCCTCTTTACTGATGTACGTTGAACACAATGGTGACATACGGTAAACTGAAGTCTTCATAATGATGTGGATGTGTATGATATGCATGCGTATGATTGAAAAAGCCATTTCATTGGCCGGTTAAGACAATGATGTGATATCGGAACGCAGGACTACTTTTTCATTCATAATTTTTACTACAGTGTTTACTACATCTTCAGTTACTGTCGTTTCCTCCGTCGGACACATCAACTCTAATAAACACTAGATTTTTATATATGGTAATTAAAATCGAGACTGTGTCACGTTTTACATGTATTTGTCAGAATTTGGAGCTAGATTGTTAGTCCTACAACAGCTCCTGTCAGTGCGCAGCAACCTTGACCTTACCGTATTTGTATTCATACGCTTCCAGGCTTTATTTAGATCGCCTTCAACGTTGCAACTGCCGGTAAAACACTGTTATATGTAATTAAAGCCTTCTGAAGAGAAGGGGATAATAAAAACATTAACACACTCGCGTAGATGTCACATTGTATTTACAACGCCAGGGAAATATCAGTTTTCAGTCATTCGTGTTGTAAATACAATATGACACCTACGCTCGGGTATGAATCTCTGTGTATCTGTACATGGGACCTGGATTTCCTTACAAGGTATGTAAATTGCAAACAGGTGATGTACATGTACTACCTGCTGTCACACAAGATGATATGCGAGCCAGGCATGACGACAAAAACCCTGAATAAGATGACCCGGAACACATTCATTCTCACTCTGGACGGCGACGTGGACTTCCAGCCATCAGCAGTGCAGGTGTTGCTGGACAGGATGAAGAAGAACGGTCATGTTGGAGCTGCTTGTGGTCGCATTCATCCAATCGGGTCAGGTCTGTAATGTTTGTGTATGACAACTTCTATCTGTCACATTTTGTTTGACACTCAACTTGGACAAACGTCTTTTTTTCCTCCAAGAGAATCTTAGCAGCATGAAGTGAACAACTGACCGTGTCACAATTCATCACCGTTTCACAATTCATCATGAAGCAAACGTTGACCCTTTTCATTAAGCACCCGTGAAGATCCCGGTTAGAATTGGTCTTCAGCAACCCATACTTGTAAGAGGCAATCGGATGTTCAGGTTCGCTGATTTGGTTTACACAAATCATAGTACCGCAGTTGAGTAGATGGGTGCTCATGTTGTTGACCACTGGATGTTTTGGTCAAGACTCGATCATTTACATATGAACATGTTTACAGGTCCGATAATATGGTACCAGAAGTTTGAATACGCCATGAGTCACTGGCTACAGAAGGCAGCGGAGCATGTAATTGGTTGTGTCCTGTGCAGTCCTGGATGTTTCAGCATGTTTCGGGCATCGGCTCTCATGGACGACAACGTCCTTCGCAAATATGCGGAAGAGTCCACAGAACCAAGACATCGAATTCAGTTTGATCAAGGTACTTGACCAAAGAGCTCATGTTGCAGGAAAAGCGCTTTGATCATTGCTGTTCAAATTGACGGACATAAACAAAGTTGAAATTTAGTCACGATATGGCTGAAATATTGCCGATGTGACTCTTAATCTTAGCTCACTCACTCACCGCAAAGTTCAAAGGTATATGACCGCCGCCGTGGTGTAGTGGTTAGAGCGTCCGCCCGGAGATTGGAAGGTCGCGGGTTCGGTCCCTGACCGCGTCATACCAAAAGACGTTAAAATATGGTACTTGTTGGTCCCTGTCTGTCGCTCGGCATTAATGGGTACAACAAGGACTGGTCGGCTAGGAGTCAGTATAATGTGTCTGAGTGGGGTATTCCTGCTTCACTGCGGCATGGTATCACAGTGGGCTAGCACTATAAAACCAGCTTCAGTCCTGGCTAGTACAAGCAGCCGCACATACACATACACACGCATGCACGTTGCCATATGAGCGAAATATTCTCAAGCACGACGTTAAACCCAATTTCACCTCACCTCACCGCACCTCACCTCAAAGGTATATGTTGTAGATGCCTTTAACAAAATGTAAAGTTCAAGGGCATTTGTTGTAAATGTCATTAAAAATACTCATTTTGGTTTGGGTAAGTTTTCCTTAAACGTACATTTATCTGCGACGCTTTAGGGGAGGACCGCTGGCTGTGTACCCTGATTCTGCAACAAGGTCACAGAATAGAATACAATGCAGCTGCGGACGCCAAAACCTATGCCCCAGAAGGTTTTAAAGAATTCTACAATCAGCGGCGGCGATGGACTCCTTCAACAATGGCAAATATACTTGATCTTCTTCAGTCGTCGGCCACAGCTAGAAGGGCAAACAATGACATCTCTCTGCTCTACATTCTGTATCAAGGACTGCTCTTTGTTTCATCTGTGCTGACACCTGGAACAATATTTCTCATCATATTCAGTGCCATTAACACTGCGTATCCTGAGCTGCCACTGTATGCGGCCATGTTACTCAACCTTTTCCCAATGATCATTTTCACCATACTCATTTTTACAGCAAAGGACGACATTCAGGTAATTTAATTTAGTTTTCACAGCTACTTTTCCCTTCATACCTAACAGAATCAACTTCTGCTTCTGATGATATTTGAGGCTGGTGTGTGTGTGTGTGTGTGTGTGTGTGTGTGTGTGTGTGTGTGTGTGTGTGTGTTATTTTGCACTAACGTCTGATATATATGAAAGCAATTAGAACTAATTTATAGGTGTTTAGATGTATACTCAGGGGCAAAAGAAACTATACCAAACATTTGAAAAATTATAATTTGTGTTTGAACGTCGATATTTTGAGTACTTATGGCTAGAAACATTCACCAAAACGCAACAAAGCTGACTCAATGAAACGACGATGCACGCAAAAGCAAGACCCCAGAAAAGTGAACTTATTCACGATAGTTTCGTGCACGTGCACACATGACACACGAGACAAATATTCGGTATAAAAGCACGTGAAAATGTTTATCGGACATCTACAATTGACGATTACATTTGCGACCATGCCGAGATTATCGAAAGAAGAGAGAGAAAGGGCAATTGGCATGATCCAGCTTGGCGCTACCCACAATCACGTCGTCAGGATCTTCGGTTGCAGCCGACTTACAATAACCAGTCTGATGACCCGTTACAAACAGACAGGCAGGACACAGGACAGACCGAGGAGCGGCAGAGCTCGGGTCACGACCCCAGCTGAAGACCGGTACTTGCGTACCCTGCATTTTGCGCAACCTATTCCTCACTGTGACAGCATCAGCACCGACTGCGCTGGGACATCGCATTAGCCGAAGGACGGTGTCCAGGATACTTCGTCAGCATGGCATCCGAGCCTACAGACCCTAACGTAGTGTAGCACTGACGAGCCTACATTGACGTCGACGGGTGAGGTGGGCACGTATCGTTCAAGGTTGGCAGCGCAGACAATGGGACAGAGTCTTATTTACTGACGAAAGCAGATACCTCCTGAACAGACCTGACGACAGGATACGAGTGCTCGACGCACAGGTGAGCGGACGGCACGTTGCTGCGAGCAGGAGGTTGAGCCGTTTGGCAGTGATGGCGTTATGGTGTGGAGAGGGATATAAGGTGACAGAAAGACAGATCTGGTTGCTGTCGATGGGAATTTGAATGGGCAGCGTTATATCGATCAATTCCTTCGGCCAGTTGTTTACCCTTCCTGCAACAGAATCCAAGAACCGTATTTCAACAGGTCAACGCCCCATGTCACACAGCTCAACGTGTTCAGGGCTTTCTCAACGCCAACAACGTTGTTGTCCTGCCATGGCCACCACGCTCTCTGGATCTTTCACCCATTGAGCATTTGTGGGGCCATCTTGGGAGACAGATACATGCCAGACAGGTCGCCCCAGTGAACAGACAAACCCTCATCCAAGCTGTGAGGGAGGAGTGGAACAGGATACCTCCTCAAGTGATCAGACGTCTGACCTCATCTGTTCGAGGTCGCGATAGAGCCTGTATCGATGCCGGTGGTGACCACACTCGATATTGACTCACAGGAGTGTCTCTGTGTCACTGACATTTACTTATCTCATCATATTGGAGTGATCAAATACAGGACATATGAATATTAAGTGCTTTTTCGCAATTATTTTAAACAATTATTGGCCTCGATTAATGAATTTGATTTTCCATACTCCTCACCTATTTGTCTTCTCAAATTACAACATTAATTTCCTGTTTATCTTTTGTCATCTTGCATTAATTAGCCTCAATAATATGGTATCGTTTCTTTTGCCCCTGAGTGTACATGGAGAAACTGACTTACTTTACCTTTTGTATTTCAGATAGCATACGCTGGTATTCTCTCAGTTGTGTATGCACTTGTGATGACCATCGTTCTTGTTGGAGTCTTCAAGCAGATAGTTGAGAGCAACTTCTGCTCAATGACTGCTGGATTTTTCTTGTTTGTCGTTGGTGTCTTTGTACTGGCGGCAATACTCCATCCCCAGGAGTTTTTCAATGTGATCTACGGTTTCCTCTACTTCCTTGCTATACCGTGCATGTCCATGCTGCTCATGTTTTACTCCTTTGGGAACCTCAACGTCGTGTCATGGGGTACAAGGGACAAGGTAGACACGAATGTTTCCGGGAACAATATGTCACAACAGAAGGAGAAGAAACAGTCAGCTATGCAGGGCATACTAAATCGAATGAAAGGTGAATTTGAGATTTATCATTTTAATACATGCTGGATGTCTTAAAAATTATATTAGGCCAGCATGACGAAGGGGCTTTTCACTCCCTATTTCTAAGCTGGACAATATCTCCTTGGTATGAAGGTAGTTTGAGGGATGCTACTGTTTCAAAGTTGGATACTATTTACTTTTATCTTGCTGCACCACTCATAACCAATGCCAACCGCCTCCGTGGTGTAGTGGTTAGAGCGTCCGCCCGGAGAGCGGAAGGTCGCGGGTTCGATCCCCGACCGCGTCATACCAAAAGACGTTAAAATATGGTACTTGTTGGTCCCTGTCTGGCGCTCGGCATTAAAGGGTACAACAAGGACTGGTCGGCTCCGAGTCAGTATAATGTGTCTGAGTGGGGTATTCCTGCTTCACTGCGGCATGGTATCTCAGTGGGCTAGCACTATAAAACCAGCTTCAGTCCTGGCTAGTACAAGCAGCCGCACATACACATACACACGCATGCACGTCGTCATATGAGCGAAATATTCTCAAGCACGACGTTAAACCCAATTTCACCTCACCTCACCTCACCTCACCTCACCCCACCTCACCCCACCTCACCTCACCTCACATAACCAATGCCTCCTCAGTTTGAAAGTTGTGTTCAAACACATGATGAATTCATTGCTTGTTTTAAGAGGACTAACATACCAGCCCAGAAAAGGATGGAATGGGATAAGTAATCTATCACCATTAGATAGATGGTGCTCAATTGATCAATTTTGTTCTATTTGGCAGGTTCTGATGACTCCGACTCTGACTATGTATTATCGTTTGGAAATATGTTCCGGTGTATATGTTGCCCAAGGCCAGAGTTGAGGGATCACACAACAAAGATGGAATTACTGATTCAGAAAATGGAGGACTTGGAGTCTGCATACAGATACAAGGATGATCGTAACGATGGTTTAAATGACGACATTTCGACCACATCGAATGAGGGACACGTGCCGTATTCACAAATGTCGAGCATGTTCAATGGAGGAATGCGCAGTAAGTATTCATACCAGTTTTCCATTATTTTGTCTTCGAATGACGTGAAGATTAAAGATCTTGGTCAGAATCGGTCTTCAGTAACCCATGCATGTCGTAAAAAGAGTCTAACTGGATCGTTGGTTAGGCTCACTGACTTGACCAATAATATAAATCACTGGATTGCCTTGTCCAGACTCTGTTATGTGCAAACCGCAGCCATATAGCTGTACAATTGATGATGATGATGATGATGATGATGATGATGATGATAGGATGTTTATCTAGCGTACATATCCACGCAACTAGTACATGCTCAAGGCGCTTGAGTGTTCCTTTGATCGAGGGATGTCTTTTTTTCTGTCATTCTTCTAACCATCTCAACTCCCTGGGGAGTATTCATTCGTTAGGCGCAGCGAGTTATCACAAAGCCTCATCCTCACAAGGTACCCATTTGCAGCTGGGTGAACTGGGACACATAGTCACAGTATTTTGTCCAATGATACTGCACGTTACTATACCCGCAACTAGGTGTCTGCACGTGTTCATGTGTCCACCATCTGGTCACCTACCGTCGGATGAGTTGGTTCTTTTAAGTGCATAGGGTTGTGCACTGCACACTAGGGTTGTGACAACACTGAAAGAGCCTGCAAGTGGGGATCGATCCAGGCACCTTTCGCTTACTAGCGCGGCGCCTTAGACAGCTCGCCCACCATGCCCCCGAGTGTTGTTGCGTTAAACAACAAACAAACACGCACACACCGACAGAGGTGAATGCTGAGTGTACATGAATGCTTTATATTCACACTATAAGTTAGTATTTCAAACATCTGCAACATTATCCTAGCCGTAACCCTTTACAACTAATGATATAATAATGAGGGTGTTTCTCACTTTCAAGTCAATCCTGGATATGAAGCCGATCCTGAACCCAAGCCATCCGAGTATGATGAATGGGATGAGCCACGTTGGATCAGTGCAACTGCACTAGGTGAAGGGCCAATTGAAGACCTGTCAGAGGATGAAAACAGTTTTTGGAACGAACTGATTGAACAATACCTCAAACCACCAAAAGAATTGTCGAAGAAAGAGAAAGACGATGTTGCTAATGGACTCACGCAGTTACGGAACACGGTATGCACCTTTTTTTTCCTTTCTAATAGTTTGTTCGTCACTCTGATGTTCATCTTGGAGAGTGTGTCAGAGTACACTCCAAGCCTTGTGTTTAAACTACCATGCGACACCGGGAACAGTGGAGCAACTCGGGAGCCTGTTGCCATTGCCTTCACTATCATATTCGGTGTTCTGCTGTTAATTCAGTTCATTTGTATGTTAGCTCATCGCTTCTCAACTCTTCTCGCTATAGCCTCTATAACAGCGTTCCACTTCAAATCTGAGAAATCCATGGAAAATAAGAAAGAGAAAGTCATGTTGGCAATTGAAGAAATGTATAAAGGTGGAAAACAGATGGACAACAGAAGTGTGATGTCAGGAGATTCAAACGTCACTGGTCTTTTCGACACGGTAGGACAGTCACATAAAAATCAGTTGATGGCACGTTTCCTACGGGATTCTAAAAAACCAGTGGTAGAACAACCAAGGGACCTGAATACAATATTCTTGAACCATATGAAGAAGATAGACGCCAATAAGGAAGCGATAAAGAGTGGTGTTGATGAATCTAAAGGAGAGGTCTCGCGTGAAGCCAAAAAGGTTTTGCCACTTATGTCCAGCCAGTCATTTTTTACCATAGCAGAGATGCTAAAGAACGAAGGTCAGGGGAACAGAATACAAGAATTAGCTCGTGCCAACTTTAGAAAAGGATTTGATCTCACCAGAAAACCAAAACTTATAAATGTTGTGAAACAAGCCGTTGACAAGGCGAAACAGAATGAAGAGACAAAGCCCAAGGTGAGATTTGATTCGAAACCACCGAGTCCATTGGTATCACAGGAAGACAGAACTACATCTCCAGGATCGGGAAACGACAGTGTGTCGGGTGGAGATGAAGAATCAAAGCAACTGAAAGTAGACCTCCATCCAAGCGAGGAAGACAAAGCTACCCGAACCCCGGGGTGGCAGTCGGTGAAGTCAAGTGGACTACTTGGGAGGATTAGCGACATGCATGCCTTGAACAAAGACTCCGACTCAGAAGATACTTTGTCGGAGAACTCCATGTTGAGGACTCCTGATGTTAGAAACCATGATCGGGACTCATATATTTCAGTAAAACATGAGGAAACGATGCTATAGCCCTTTGTTAGAGCTACTGATGACTCTAATACCACTATTTCGTTTGGCACAAGACACGTGAGTGATATGCAACAGATCTTCATTTGATGTTTACTGTTATGAAAGGAATATTGTTACTTCATAGGCTGTTATACCTTGTCGATACGTGTCTGAGAGGACAATATCAGCATGCTCCATTAACCACGAACTTTAAAATGGTCCTGATTGATGAAACTTTTGTATTTCGATTCCACTGATAAAACTACTCGATTTGTTGGTCACATCTCTACATAAATGATTCCCATTCTTGGCTACTTTCGATTCTTTCGCATACATGTACATCTTATTCAGTTGCTCACAGCTAATTATCAACATTATTTACTGCACCAAGATATGTAAAACATAATTACAATGGAACTACTCGGGAATTGTGTATTACTGCTTTTGTTTTCTGAGCACCATTTCATTATATTATTTATATATTTGCTGAGTTCAGTTCGTCTGTACATATTATTGTTTTTATGCTTGTCAACTTAAGGTATGGCTTTGCTTCTTTGTCAGTCACCAAATTGTTACAGAACACTTAAGGCACAATGATCTCCCTCGACATTGTCAGCAGTCAAACATCTTCTTCACCTAAGCTGATGTAATAATACATCTGCATGTAAATCTTGTGAATATATATGAAAATAGAATCTGTGAGTTGGGAATGCTGTGCGTATAACTGGTTTTGTGATTTAGAACAGCAACACTGCTAATTGCGAATTTCTTTTTAAAGTATATTACATATTCCAGGAACTGTGATACCCATGTCGCCGCATTTTACCCTTTTAGCTACTTCAATGTAAAGTTCTTCTCATTCAAAACTTCCTCTACCCTCCATGCTGTTATTCTAGAAAATTCCAATATTCCAACAGCTCCAGCCTTTGGTGTTTACATTTCACAATCGAGCGTGCATTTCTATCAGGATTTCAAAGAGCGTCATGCCACTCTTGTTCAGAAGTTGTTTGTGCAAGGTTACAACATTAAAGACCTCAGTAAATCTTTCAAGAGGTTTTATGGTAGACATATGAAGGAAATTTCCAAATTTGATGCATCAGTGACAAAAATGATGTCTGATGCAATTCCCTATTTTGACGTATACCTTACGTTCCAGGACTATTTGAGGTGAACAATTGACTACACTTAGCATATGGTTATGACGGGTGCCACCGGTGGGGCAGGATACGCTCACCTTTTTGCGAACACCTGGTGCCATCACTATTTCATAGCGATGCATAAATATATGCTCTGTCATCGTATCGCATGGTGGCAATCACTGGATTGTCTGCTTATGACGCGATTATTTTACAAAAAACAGTTGTAATACTGCTTAAACAAATATCTGCTCATGATATGGTCACAATTGTACAACGACTCTGCTTTTGGCGGAGATTAATTATGGATGTTGAAAGGGTTTTATTTCTATTTATTGTTTGGCTGATTTGCGCAAAATTGTCAACACCTGAAGGATAGATGTAAATACATCTAATGTGCATGCAGGTAGCAAATGTACGATGATCTCTAATATGGAGATCTATCTACAGTTGCTGGTGATTTACAACCCTCATTTTATTGTAATATCCTGAATAGTGATATAATTTTACAGTTGCATTTTTTTCTGTGATGATCTAATTGTTTTAGTGTTCTTTGTCGACATTTTTTGTATAATAGAACCGTTTATGTTCAATGTATGACGATTCTATTTGACGGCAACTACTTGGTATTGTGATTATTTTCACTTTGGAATATTTTGGGATCATTTATATTTAAATAAAGAAAAGGAACGCATGGGACCAAATGGCTTTGTCGATTTATTATGCTTACTCATATTTTCTGTAACAGTGCAAACATGAAGAGCTGCACCCAAAAGATGGTTAGGAGGCCGACTCTCCATAGAAGTTATGGAAGTAGGGAACGTGAAAACGGCGGTGGCTCGTCAAGTTTGCCTGTTGTTTAACGCCGTACTCAGGAATATTCCATCTATATGGCGGCGGTATCCACATAATTGAGTCTGGATCAGGCAGTCCAGTGATCAACAGCCTGAGCATCGATCTTCTCAATTTCGATACGATGACATGTGTCAACCAAGTCAGCGAGCCTGACCACCAGATCCCGTTAGGAATGACAACTTCTTTATTACACAATAGCAACGTTTCGGTACTTATACCGTTTTCAAGTTTTTCATCCATGACAACGGTATAAGAACCCGTAACGAAACGTCGATATTGTACGACAAAGAAGTTGATCATCCATAGGGACTTGTCATGCCTTTTGCTCACAACTTCTAGAATGCATCTCAAACAGTTCAGATCCCGTTAGTCACCCCTTACGACGAGCATAGGTTGTTATAGAACAATTCTGACAGAGGTCTTCACGGGAACATAAAGACAAGGAAATACAAGCAAGAAAGACGACATCAAAGATACATTAGTTTACAATACAGAACAAAACATAACATAGAGTCAATGTTTCCACAAACACATTTACATTTGTACAGCTATGCCATCCATTATGAGCAATAACCTTTGACATGTTTTCATGTTGTAGCTGGTCATGACAAATTACATAGCCTGGGAATACAGCATTTGCCTGACCACACTCACACATTCTGGACGTCACGTTATCAGTAAATGTTGTCAAACCTGGTTACCATTGTGAGTGATGTTCGCTATCATATGTATCCTTCCGGAGATGCATGAGTGACTACTACTACTACTAATAATAATAGTCCATTTATATTGCGAGTTTATCCATGCACATTGCATGCTCAAAGCGCTGACATATTACTCCTGGTCAACGAGTATAGAACACTCCATTTGGAGAATACAACCGGTCGCCTGTCAGGCGCTCAGGGTTCAAATTCAGACTACCATCGTATCATACCAGGTACCCAATTTTACTGCTGGGTGGACAGAGGCAATTTTGAACAAACTCACTTGCCTAAGGTGAGACCACATGCGTCACATGTGCTTCGTTGTGGGGCAGGACTGAAGTTGGGTCAGCACTGAAGTCCTAGAAACTTTCAGGAGTCAAGCTGCCAGACACGGTCACCCATCGGAGGACTGTCCGCGACCAACGTTTCTCAACTTTAACTGATTGTGACCTGAGATCTACGCACAGGACCACACACCGCCTTCATGCAATACACATGCTTTTACAAAGGCAAAGCGTTACCTACATCCATTATGATCAAGTCTGCAAGTCAATTTGTCTCTCTTTCCTTATCTCTACTTTCTCTCCCATCTTTATAAACATTTTTTTTACATATGTTGTGTATGTAACGCGAGATAAAAAAGAAAAGAAAAGAAAAGAGCAGAATACAGACTTCCAACATAAAAAAATTAAAAATAAAAATAAAAAAGGAAAAGTCTGCAAGTCAAGTACATGAGATGACTGAGATGAGTTATTTTAGTTTCACGTCTCACACTTTTCAACTCAGCGCGTACCTTCTCAACCAAATCATTTAACCTCAAATACGCACTCGTGAATCACCCGCCGTGATATTGCTGGAATATTGCTGAAAGCGGCGTAAAACTAAATTCACACACTTGTGAATCATGCACAGCACTCATCCACTACAGATTCAGCAGGGTAGTAGAATCAACCTTTGATTCAAATGTCAAGATCTGTTTTGATCACATTCAAACGACATAATGACTTGAGGTGTCGGAACGCATTTTGGTATTAGGTTTTCGCTCATTTGACAAGTTGTGCAAAACTGCGTGTACTAAAGTTGCCCGAACCCTGACTTCGTGTTGGTCTCAGCGATAAGACCGTTTTGAGAGATAATACTACCCTTTACCTCACCTCACACTTAAATGTCGTTTTCTGATTGGCTGAGCGCTCTTCTATTATTTTAAATGTACCCCGCTTACATGCGAGTAATATTTTCTATATCATCCGCTGGGTATGACGAACTGTGAGAATCCATTTGGTACTTTGTGTTGGTAATTCTTTATCTCGAGTCACGTTTGATGTACGGAAATTAGCGATGTATTGCGTATGCAAACCGATGGAAGGGAGATAACTCATAATTTGTTTTTCTTGTCTGTCGTTAGTATTGGCTAATTGTTAACTCTGCTACTCCTTACAATGTTCCGACACCCGTGGTCCAAACAGTTCAATATTAACATTGACAACTACGTTGTTCACTGGTCTGTCTGGGTCCTGAAAGTTTATTAAATGACCATTGAAATTCACCTGAAAATGAAGTGTACACCCACTTTCTCAAAGAGCTATATCCGCCCATGTACTAGTGTCAAACGTTAGTACTTCGACTCGGCGATAAGCATTTGCCAAAAACCCAGTATGTACAGTGAAATGAATGTTAATTATTCATGATTCTGTTTCTAATCATTTAAAACATACCTAACCTGAGTTGTCAGTACGCTCGCTTCGTTTTCATCAGTAGCAATACGAAACGGACAAGAAGATGCAAATTAATAGAGAAAACACCCTTTTTGGTCATACGAAAGTTCATTGTGCCATTCTGAATGATTTAATAGTGCAGATTTAGATATGTCAGTGCCGACTTGCTACTGCTGCTGCTACTCCTGATAGTTCTATTTGTACTACTACGTACTACTGTTCTTGCTGCTGCAGCTACTACTACTACTACTACTACTACTACTGCTACTCTACAACTACTACTATTACCACTACTACTATTACTACTGCTATTACTACTACTACTGCTACTCTACAACAACTACTACTACTGCTACTCTACAACTACTACTATTACTACTACTACTACTACTGCTATTACTACTACTACTGCTACTGCTACTATTACTACTTTTACTGCTACTGTTATTGTACCTGCTGCTAATACTACTGCACTCCTGTACGAATAAAACACAGTATATACAATGTTTATACAATGTTTATTCACTTGCACTCAGGGGAAAGCAACCTTCGTATAAAATGAGCAATTTTATATATTGAAAGTATATATGGCGATGGCGAGGTATTCCAACGACCAGCGTTTTTTTGAAGTGCTATTGCAGCAGGTGCATATACACCGATTTGTTTCAAATTAGGCCCGGTATTGCAGAACTGGATTCTTTCGGGATGAACTTTTCAAAGTTCGTTAAACACCACGACATGAGCCTGCTGTGAAACTAAGGGTGGCTAGTCCTCCTGCTCCGAGGGTACAGGTCACAGATGAAGATTTACCATCCACGTTGAACCAGAAGGAGACAGTTTCGTGGGCAGCTCCAGTGAGGCTGATGGTGATGTCATCGGCAATGTTGATGTCCGTCACTCTCTGGGGTGACATGGGCACCCACTTGTCTAACTCACCCTGGATGAGAACTTGTTTGCTGTAGGAAAATAATTATATCATGGATACTTCTATTGTTCAGACAATTTTTATATGCTATAAATGTCTTAATTCAATTAAAACATTTTGGGAATATTGTAGAATTTACATCCATCATTCTATCCATCGACTGACTGACTGAGTTTGGTTTTACGCCGCTTTTAGCAATATTCCAGCAACATCACGGCGGGGGACACCAGAAATGGGCTTCACACATTGTACCCATGTGGGGATTCGAACCCGGGTCTTCGGCGTGACGAGCCAACGCTTTAACCACTCGGCTACCCCACCGCCCCTCTATCCATCGAGGACATCATAACATTTGGGTTCAGCGGTCGCCTAGTGGTTAAAGTTTTCGCATGTCAGGCCGAAGACCCGAGTTTGATTCCCAACATGAAAAATTGTTTGGGGTCCTGTGGTATTGTTGGAGTAACGTAAAGTGGCGTAAAACTTGACTCACTGACTCACTTCAGCGTTTGTTGATACATTTCATGTAGAATATAAACTTTTGCTTGCTTCTACTATAGCATGTAGATAAACTTTTGTTAAGGCATCTATAACACCATACACTGGTAATTTAAGTCAGACCTCGCGAATTTGATCTAGATTGAGTACCGACACGATTGAAATGGAGTAATACGCCTACCCATTGATTGTCAGTACAGGTGATACATAGAAGAGACAGAAGTCAGCCTTGGTACAGTTGGTGCTCAATGCCAGGGGCTGGGGGTCTGTCAAGGGCTGAAGTTTGTTGGGATTATTGGCTGGGAAAACCATGGAGCTAGGAAACTGGAAATACCAAGTTCATTTTAGGTACTTACCTGACGATAGTTACAGGTATATTTTCGAACCCTGAACATATGAAATCAAATTGAGGTAGAAAGGGCTTAATGTCTTACCCCTTCATTTGCCCGGGAACGTTAAGTCTCAGTTGTTCACCCGACATTATATGTACACGTTTTGAATTTAACAAAAGTAAACTAACATCTAGTCTCTGGAAAGAACGTTTTTGATTGAAAGAAAATACAATAAAAAAGAGCCCACAGACTTTCCTCATTTTCAGAAAAGTGAAACTGTGGTACTGCTTCTCCCAAAACAAATTTCAAACCCACTAATGCGGTTTAGAACCTCTAATCATTATTTACCAGTAAAGACCGGTCGCTGGATAAAAAATACGTAGACAGTTAAGAAAATGCCATTTATGTAACTCCCCAGCGATAGCTGACGAGTTTCATTATTTGTTTAAATGTTCGTACTTCGATAATATCAGATATACCTATTTTAAAGACTATTACTGTAAATGGCCAAATCTTATAAAATCACAATTTATACGGATTGTAAATAATTTATTTATTGAAACCGTCAAATTGTAATCTATTTATTTACCCAAATGATCACATGCTACATGTTAAATATTCATACCGTAAAATGTTCCTGCACCACCGATGGTCGTTGTTGGAATGCAAAATATCAATATACAATTGATCTAGGCTTGCCTCATAATATAGACTTATTAGGACTACGTTTGGTATATTTGTTTCAGGGTCTGTATGACAGACTAAAAAATCAGGTGAAAAGATAGATGGGTAATGGTACATCTTACCCCTTGATATCCAGCCATGCACGGTGTCATGTTGTAGCTTGCCCTTAGATCAGCAGCCAAGACGATACCGTACTTGTTCTTTCCACCAAAATCTGAATATGTGGACCACAACTCCCCATCAGGACCATCAAAGTCCGTCCAAGCCATCTAGGAAAATATAAATATACCAAGCAGGCTTATATCACAGTGTCCGCTGCAGATGGTCACTGAATGGGTGAGTGAGGTTAGTTTTACGCCGCACTCCGCAATATTCCTGGCGGGCAAATGTTCAGTGGAGGTGTATGAAATGTAAATAGTTCGTGAATGAGCACATTATTTTCAATCGGTGTCAAGTCACATAAATTTGTCATTTTTCGTAGCACCACAAATTGAAAAACTGATGATACACAGAAATTCAAATGTTATATAGTCTTGAGCTTATTTACACCCTAAGGTCAGTACTAGAGTAAAGCAAGATGCACGGGTACCCTCCGTAACTGGTTGTCAATTGCAGTCGCCGGTCGTGATGGTTTCAAGATCAGGCCGTCAGCATTTACAGACCTGTTCAAAATGAGAAGTGACAGTGAATAAATTATTACTTTGTTACATAAGATAACAGGAATAATTGAAAGGTATAAGATGGCCTAGTGGTTAAAGAGTTCCCTCGTCACGCTGATGACCCGAGTTCGATTCCCCACATGGGTACAATGTGTGAATCCCATTTCTGGAATCCCCGGGGGGCCTGCCGTGATACTGCTGGGATATTTCTAAAAGCGGCGTAAAACCATATTCACTCACTCACTCACTGACTGAGAGGCAAAAGAAACAATCAGCCATGTGAAATACATTTTTGAATAATGCAAACGCCTATGTTCGTGATATACACTTTACACTGAACAGCCAACCTACTTCATGATAAGTGTCTTGTTCATATGCCCAATCATGTCACTTATTCCTACTGGGCCTGTACTTAAGGTTGCAATCACAGCATTCAGAGACGTGTACGGTTCTGTGGAATCTGCAACACATTATTCATCAAAAATACACGGCGAACCTTTGCCAAAGTAATTCTTTTGACGCTTTTATAACACGAAGTTACACGATGAAGCCGAAGCTTTTCAAATATACACAAAGAACTTAGTTAAGCACCTCATGACAGTAGTAGGTCAATCTCACGATTGAATTAGACCCGATCTTAACCCTTTGGTGCATATCTGAGACATGTTTGGTCGTCGTTTGTCGTCGTGTGCAACAAAGGAACCCTCCTGTACAGAACCTGGGCCAATTGGAAGCTGCTTTACGCGAGAAATGGCATAGACTGCCCCTTCAGTGGACCAGAAGGCTGACAGGGGGTATGAGGAGGAGAGTGCTGGCTGTCATACAGTGACATGGAGGTTACACTCGGTATTGACCTTGAATCGTGTAAGACACGCAAAATGACATTTTGAATGTTCACATTCACCAATAAATTTAAACATTAAACATAAATTTTAACTTTAAACATTCCAGGGCCATACTTGTGCAGACATGGTTTTGTTTAAAGATCAGTGTTCTCTTTAAAATGAACAGTTGTCATCATAAAATCAACATGGATTCAATTCGTTTAGTCATTTTTTTATGAGTCAAAGGATCATACGGATCAGAAAAGCTGATCCATCGTCGTCACCACGACATGTTTTATGTATGTGTTGAAATCATTGCAAAATTACAGGGGTGCTTAATTACGTTCTTTGTGCATATTAGTGATATTGACTGAGAATTTATTGTGTACACACTGTATGCATTTCCGGGTTGAACGGTCGTTGTCCAAAAATTGTCCTTGAAAGGCGTGACGCCTATAGCCCAGGCAAACAGTGACGAGACTCCTATTCTCCAATTGGTCGAACCTGGATGGTAATCAAAGCTTGCACGGGACTGAAACAAACATGTCAAGATGTACGATTTACACAATGAACAAGCCTACACGTGACATGTTGCATGGGACAATCATGGTTCTGATGCACAACGCCTTCGTAAACTCACGACCTCTCGAACGCTTTATCATAGAACCTACCCACAGTGCGACGAACGTTTTGTGTATCGGATCCCTCGGCTGGCTGGCTGTGGACAACGACGTCCTTCATCGAAGTTGTGAGTTTGTTGGAATGAGGCTCACAATATGCAAACATCGCATGATCAGTTACGATCCTTCAATAGGCATGGAGTTTTGGAGGTCTCGTTCCAAGAAAATATATTGTACACATGCTCACAAATGATTCTGAGTGAGAATGGTAAATCTGGCATGCCACCCATTGCAGGTGCAGGCCGAGGTCACGTTCTCCATGACTGTCACAATGCTGTGTTTGGGAGCGTGACTTTTACAGTGATAAATCGCTTTCTTTCATTGCAAGGAATTATTGCATGTTCCTGTAGTGGAACCTCTAGTTAAAATATCCCTTACTTCAGGGTTCCAAGAAAACTATATGCGTCTGCATGGAAGAGTCCGACCGCTCTATTGCCATCAGAATGAAAACAAGCCCTCTGTTGAAAAATCTGCCATGTAATCTGCCCTTATGGAACATCTCATCAAAGGTCCTAAGCTCAATGTTTTCTTTGTGACCCATAATAACTATCAGTTAATCAACGTAATATTACAACTTACAAAAAACTCACACTCATAAGACTGGTAACAAAACTCCTCAATAACATCATCAAGTTTCAGCAAAAAGGAAAGACTTGAATCAAGAAACATTTGAAATCAGCCATCACCAGAGACCATCACCCGGCATCTACCTTCCGAGCGTGGACTACATTTCACTTTAGTCATATCTTCAACCGCAATTGGACATCTTGATGGCCCAATAATTATTGTCACATAGGCAACTCCTTGTTATTACATCCATCATAATTATTATACCTTCATTGTACATAAATGGATTTTCTCAATTAATGTCGCTTGAACATTGCCAAAAACTATCACAGTCGTTCACTGCTCTCACCTGTGTGACGACAGGTATTTCCAGAGACTGCAGCATATGTCGTGGGTAGGACATGCAGTACTGTATGGTCAGCCCGTTCTTTGCAGCCCCATTCCCCATCTGAGTCAGCCATTGGCGGCCAAGGTCAATGTCAGTCAGGAATGTTTGGATTTGGGTAAATTCATCATCGAGGTAATCCTACAGAAATGAAACAAACAAAAAAACAAAACAATCATTTGTTCATCACCAGGTTTGACCTTTCAAATTTGAAATTAAGGAGACTTAGGAAACCAACCAACAAACAAACGCACATATGATCTATTATGAGGTTTGAGATTTTAATTTACAAATTGTCTCTGAAAGGTATTACCTGTTCGTAGACATACAATTACCTGTTCGTAGACATGCAATTACCTGTTCGTAGACATACAATTACCTGTTCGTAGACAAAGAGACCCCATTTCCTTGCATTAGCGAGCAGATCAGTCCAAAATCTCTGGAAAGTAAAAGAATACAAGCCTGTTAGTGTGTTTAGTAATGGCGGTAAAAACTCTATAATCATTTCCCATAGTAAACTTATAAAATGTAATATATTTCTCCTTCTGATTGATACCTATATTTTGTGTCAGTACCTCTTCCAATGGTACTGCCTTGTGACCGTCCATCAGGAACTTATATTTGCCCCCGTTAGTAGTTGCATATGTTGTATTGGCGGACCTGGAAGTATTTATTATACTAGAGATTCGTGTAGATATGCATTAATATAATATAATTACGTCAGTGAGATCATGTTAATTTTTCTTGGAGAATTTTCGTATGCTACAATAAACGGTTTATCATAATACATGTAGATATGCATTGATGCAAATACAGGCATATCATTAATTCAATGAGTTGTCAGTTTTCATTGGAACATGTTTACACGTTACAATAAAAGGTTTTCACTGAATGCCATGTTCTGATGACATAAACATTACCAAGAAACGGGTATATATTAATATCTTTCTCGGTTATATTTCCGTGAGTCATATTTCCGCTCATCATTTGCGTTAGTGTGTTGACATTAAAAGTCGTATCATTTTTCATATGCGAGGAACAGTTATAATTTGTAAAAACGTTTCTTAAATTGAATTGAAAATGAATTCATGTGAAACCTGAACCTGGCTTACCAGAACATGCTGTGGGCTACGACGGGATACTGTGTCTTGTTATAAAGCCACCTTTATCACAGGATGAAGTAAAATAAGGGGAACATGTGTTACTTTCATCCACTCGATATATCACTTGTGAAAATGATAAACAATATATTATCACTACAACAATATATGCACTCCATATAATTGTACATAAAGTTCGTCAATGTTATACTCCCCAACAACTAAAATCCAACCCAAAGAAGTTGCACAAAAGAGATGAAGTTTCGATTTTGAACCTATGAGAGACATTTACTGGTACATGGTGGTACGTTATGTCATCATAATTAAATACAATGAATTAAACAGATTAACCACATTCACTCAGTTCTATAACGGCAAAAGACATCTCACTGCATTCCATTGGGGAAGACGCTTGGTTGAGCTGACCACGTGATAATCCCATGGTCGTTGTCATAGTGATACCACCATGCGTCATACTGGATGTACCTGGCAAGTAAACAACGAGGTCATTGTCCCAGTAGAATCACCATTTGTCATACTGAATGTACCTTGCAAGTAAACAAGAAGGGTATTGTCCCAGCAGTGTGAATGTACCAAGCAAGTGAAATAACAACGGTATTGTCCCAGTAGAACCACCATTCAAGTAAACAACCAGGTCATTGTCGCAATAGAACCACAACTTGTCGTAATAAATGTAGCAAATAAACTGCCAAGCGGTATCAGCACGTTGAATGTCCTGTACCATCTGTTGTTAAGCATGAGTAAATGTACTCACCTGACGGGTACCCCGATCTGCCCAATGTAGGTCTTGATGTCAAGCACTGTGTCCTGGTAGTTCTTTCCCTTCTCCTTCAGATTGTAGTAATATGCTCCTGAATGACGAATATAACTGTTTATTTTTTACAGATATTCACACATAGTCGGGAGGTAATGCTTAGAAATATTCTGGAATGTTACCAAAGTACCTGTTTTCATAGTATCACCGGATTTTCCCTGAAGCCTATTCGCTGCTTGGTGAACACAAACAATATGAATAAAGCACCTTGTCTTTGGAAACACTACATTCATTTATCATGTGTTTCAGTTTTGAGATGGGCTAAAACTATCAGAAATATATTTGAATCCATAAATGTCACTACCTTCCATCGTCATGTGTTTCAGTATTGGTCAGAGCTGAAACTCAAGCAACAATCAGAAATACGTCTTAAGTACCTTCCCATCACCATTTGAACATGCATTCAATCGATTCTGCTATTGGCCAATATTTCCTGTGGATGTGGGAAGGCTTTTATCGTTTGTATTTCCAGTGTTGGGAAAGGGCAAAGACCTAGAAACCATCAATCCACATTGATAACCGCGGTGTAAGTGTGTCATGATGTTGATCAATGGATTGTCTGGTCCAGACTGGATTATTTACAGACCGCCGTCATACAGCTGGAATACTGCTGAGTGCGGCGTTACAACAAACCAACCAACCAACTGTATATGTGACCTAGCAGTGGGACTGTACTTACGAACGAACGTACTTACGAATACAGCTTGTGAAACAAGGTAGCGTTCATCAACCAAATTAACTCAGTTGTGAGTGAGAAAATTGTGCTCATTGTATCTTGAGTGTCGGTGTCAAAACAGGTTGGCAAAACTGTGGGCGGAAGTGTTTAATTAAATAAAACTGGTAAATAAGTAGAAAAAAAGCCGAAAACCATGGCTGATATCGAATATATAAGTCGAGGAAACCACCTCCACACAGACGGCAACTTGACGGCCATTGACAAAGAGTCCAATAAAACCTTCTCTCAAAGTTTTCTCACCATTGTCTGTCCAGTATCCCAGGTAATTGATCGAGAAGTCGGACTTGACAAACTGGTCAGTTCGCCCGTGCCATCTTTGCAAAATTTGACCCCAACTCACAAAGGCCTGCAAGCGTATATTTAAAGTAGTTAAAGAAATCAAAGATAAAACAATTTTCTTCTTATTATGAAAGTTCAAATGAATTCAATTGTTGATACTTGCAAAACAAACAATAGCAATACAGATATGCCTAATTAAGATGTATTCGACTTATAAATATTAATCAAACACCGGTGTGTCGAACTTTAAAAATCGGTCCTTCCTATGGTTTCTTTATTCATCATTGTTCGGTTTTATCGAACCTTGGATAACTCGAAACATGTTCGTAGGCCCCTCCAACTTCGACTGAGCGGCATTTTGACAATGTCTCCACTTTATGAATAAATTGGGAATACAGTAACATACCTCTATTCCATTCAAGTTCTTTTACATTTCAAAATACTAAGTACTAAATACTATTTTTACGGTTAATGAATCTGTACCTTGTTGATACCTTTGTTACCACAGAACAGGATAAAACTGGTTTCCACACCAAGAGGGACGTTTTCCACACCGCCCATTGTGCCCCAGTAGACGTTGTCTCCACCAGTGCTGGCGTTCTGACGCCATATTGATGACGACATGAACCGACTTGCAGGGGAGATAATCAGGGTATTTGCAGTCTTCAGTCGATCAAATATGGCTAACGGCCCACTCTCAAGCCCGTCGTCTATTTGAAATGACGATGGTCCCAATCTGAATAAGATGTGTACTGAAAATTATTTTGCAATTTTGATGACAAGGTTGGCATGTGAAAGCACTCATAAACTTTATCAATGTGTGTGTTCATTGAGTATACCATATCAGCAAACTTTCAGCAATATGACAGCAGTGTGTAAATATCTGAATCAGGACAATAAATCCGGTGCTTCACATCATGCTCATTGATGGAACAAGAAGACATGGCCATCAATATCCCCGCCACAGTGTTCTTTTCCTATTTAGTTCCAGTTTTTTTAACAAACCACGACATTCATGTCCTGAAAACATATACCGCATTTGGCTTCCCTATCTATAACGGGTTCTGGAAGAAAATCTGTTCCCATTGTTAGATACCCTGTATAAAGTCAAGGAACGCAAGACAAGGACCATAACTATGTAACACATTGTGACACGGTTTCTGTTTTCGGACTCCATCAAGCCATTCATGTCCTAAATGCGCATACCAAATTTGGCTTCCCTATCTATAACGGGTTCTGAAAGAAAATCTGTTCCCATTGTTAGATACCCTGTATAAAGTCAAGGAACGCAAGACAAGGACCATAACTATGTAACACATTGTAACACGGTTTCTGTTTTCGGACTCCATCAAGACATTCATGTCCTGAATGCGCATACCAAATTTGGCTTCCCTATCTATAACGGTTTCTGAAAAAATCTGTTCCCATTGTTAGATACCGTGCATAAAGTCAAGGAACGCAAGACAAGGGCCATGACTCTGTAACAAAATTGTGACACGGTTTCTGTTTTCGGACTCCATCAAGACATTCATGTCCTGAATACACATACCAAATTTGACTTCCCTATCTATACCGTGGAGAAAATCTGTCAAAAGTATATACCCCTCCCTTTTCGTGGCGGGGGATAATGAAATGACATGCTCCAAACTAGTCAGCGAATCTGACCATCCGATCCTGTTAGTCACCTCTTACAAGAACGGGCTGCTGAAGACAGCATCTTCGCGGATGTATGCTATTTCCAGTGTAGTGACATTTCAGCAGGCACAATAACAGTACAAATTACACTCGCGTAACCTTGATTCGTGGATATAAGGAAAATGCGGCCAAATTCATATTTTAAATGCATGCTTTCATTTTGCATACGCACTGATTATTTTATTCATTGATTCAGCAAATTGAAAATGTCTAATATTCCACTCGTGAATGAAACGTTTGATTACGGAAGCCATTTACAATCATCACCCATTCGTGTGCCCACAAAATGTGACGTCACCTTGTTTCGTGGATTACGTAGTCGGTTACTTTATACCACTATGTACGACATCCCACTGCAGTAAGTATTGACACCAAGGAAAGCAGACAACGAGAAGTGAGAATGTTGGATAGCTAACAGTATCTTTTTCACTTGACATTTTGTAAAAATAAACTTTGGTAATGATGGTATTAGTGATCTGGGGCTATTTATCTCAATGATGGACAATTACATTTAGTGTACTTGCGTGTAATGCAGAAATTCGGAACTTTTTTTGTCAGCGAGGCGTGGCATTGTATGTACATCAAAAGTAGCGCTTCGTAACGTCAGTCGAGACTTAATTTACGAGTTAGCTTGATAATAATTGCGATCCACGAATCAAAGTTATCCACGAATTTAGGTTACGCTTCTGTAAATGGACTTACTGTCCAGCCTTGAGACCCTGACTACCAAACATCAGCCCAGCGTAACCAAGGTATCCCAACGGAATGGTTGGTTCTTGAAGTAGAAACCCAGGGAAGCCAGCAATGGTGAGGTCACTGCTGTTGGAGGCGGTGTTGTTTGCTCCATTGATGTAACGCTGTTGCCGTCATTGGGAACAAATGGTAAGAACATTACCTGCATTAATCCATAACGTTGATGTTATATTCACTCTTAGCCTTTATCTTAGCAAAGGTGAGGTGAGGTGAGGTGAAATTGGGTTTAACGTCGTGCTTGAGAATATTTCACTCATATGACGACGTGCATGCGTGTGTATGTGTATGTGCGGCTGCTTGTACTAGCCCAGACTTAACCTGGTTTTATAGTGCTAGCCCACTGACATACCATGCCGCAGTAAAGCATGAATACCCCACTCAGACACATTATACTGACTCCGAGCCGACCAGTCCTTGCTGTACCCATTAATGCAGAGCGCCAGGCAGGGACCAACAAGTACATACAATGTGTGTAGCCCATTTCTGGTGTCCCCCGCCGTGATATTGCTGGAAAATTGCTAAAACGGCGTTAAACCATGCTGACTCATTCACTCTGAAGGAGACCGCCATATAGCTTGAATATTGCTGAGTGCGGCAACTCACTCACTCACTGAAGGAGAATATCCAGTGAGAGATTTATGTACGCTTGAGTATGATGGCAGATCTGTTTGCTTTTACAGAAAGAAAACAAACGTTCACAGGAGCATGATACAATGTGCATGTAACGATCATCAATGATGTAGTTTATTTTGCTTAAAAATATGATAGTAAACATCATCGCCGTATCCGTTTCCGTACAAGAAAGAATGAATAAATTTTAGGTTCTTATGTTTTCTGTGTAACATCTGTGCTAAAAGTCGCGCACTATAGTAGGTGCTCGTCAAGAACATTTTCAACCAGGGGCTATGTTTACTCACCTGTTTGAACAATATGAACGGTAAAGCGGGATTGTTGTAGGTGAATATGCTTGGATCTGGTGTGTACTGTACAAAGCTGGCCTCGATCTGACTGGACCCTGCCTGGTACAAGAAGCTGTTGGCCTCCCACTGCCCGATGACGTCCACACCACTAGACTGAGTGTTCTTGACCAGCTTCAGAGATCCATCAGCAGAGGAGAACACTTGACCATCAGCTCTGAAGAAGGTAGGAGCGCTCTTCAGCCACACGTCTCCCTGAACAACGACGTTGTAGGTGCCGTCATTGTTGACGTTCACAGCAAAGTCCTGCTTTCCCCCGGAGACTGCAAGTAGGTAGGTAGGTAGTTAGGAAGGTAGGAAAGAGTTATTAGGTGAGCAGGTAGGTAGGTGAACGAGTGAGTGAGTAAATTCGCTATCGTCAGCTCAAGGCTACATTAGTTTGACTCCAGAAAGGTACTATGGATAATTGCAATCAGATAAAAACCAAAAGCTGTCAATAAATGTAGACACATTGTTCCAACGGCAGTCACAACAATAAATGTTCTGGTCTTGTCATGCTGAAGGATCGCATGTTTCCAGCTCCAAACATTAAAAGACACTCGATTCGTTATCTTCGTTGTATGAGCGAGATGTGGCTTTGAACAACTGAAATCTGGCATTGGCACATTGCAACCATAATACGATATATAGTTTTAGATACCTTGCACAAATGAAAACAATATTAGTGTATTATTTTGAAACGTGCAGGTGTTTTTTTTTCTCAACGCATTCACAAGGGGTGTTTTAAATAAAATATATCCATGGATTTTGTCGGGAATTGAATTGTAACAAGCATACTTACCCACACAGAAAGAGAGAGACAGGAAAAGGTATATACAACTCTTAAGACGCATCTTCAAACGATGTCGAATCGCAGTCATATGATATAGAGTTAATAGCACTTGATATGATGTTCACATAGTCGGCCAGTATCTGAGCTGATAACGGGGCGGGGTCAAGGCTGAGTCCATAGTTTTCGGATGTCTCACCCAAATGAATTAACATTAGTGTTTTATTTTGAAACGTGCAGGTGTTTCTCTTCCAATCACATTCAGCAAATCTGTTCAAACACCTTTTTCAACGCATACACAAAGGGTGTTTTAAGTAAATAAATCCATGGCTTTTGCCGGGAATTGGAGATGTAACTAGCACACTTACCAACAGAGAGAGACAGGAAAATGTATATATAACTCTTAAGACGCATCTTCAAACGATGTCGAATCGCAGTCATATGATATAGAGTCAATACCGCTTGATATGATGTTCACATAGTCGGCCAGTATCTGAGCTGATAACAGGGCTGGGTCAAGGCTGAGTCCATAGTTTTCAGATGCCTCACCTTAGTTAAACTGAGAACGTCACGTGTCGGCAATATTTTCACAATACGTTAATGAAGACATCTATATCGAAAAGAAGTCAAATTAGAACCAACAAACAAGACATGAAGTTTAAATAACAGTTGTACCATAGACGTAAATAGATTTACAAATCAATAGAAATTACTGCAAAATAGTAACAATTTCAGTAGAAACAATAGTTGCAAAACCAATATTCAATGACTCTACAAATACAATATGATGTTCACACAACCACTGGCCTTGGTGTAGAGGTATATGAGAGAGGCGTACTTACCTGTATAGTCTTGATACCTTCAGGAGCTTCTACACTGGATTGGTCTGGGAATCCAGGTTATACTTGACCGCAAATGCATATGAATGAAGTACCCCTTTGCCACAGCTTTCATTAGATAGAGCTTCATAACTGACAACTAATTATTGTTAATTAGTAATGTACTCCTCCATCTTGAAGGAACAATGAGATACAATTTCAGTAGTTTTAAAATATGTACCAGACATTGCTACGTAAAGTTTCTAGTTATATCAAAGTCATTTTCTATCGTTACATCACTTATTGCGTCTTTTTTTAAGTTTCAAATTTGGAGAAAAAAAATCAAATAACGAGAAAATATTCGAAGTAACGATACAAAACTGGTAAACTCGAGTTTTTGGAACCAATTGCAACTTGAAATTACAAGCAAATAATCGAAGTAACAAGACACGCTCCTAACAAAAACACAGAGAAAATATTCGAAGCATCAAGGAACAATAAACAATTAAAATAGATAAACGAGAAAGTAATTGAAAGCACGACAATTTTCTGTTTAAATACATTTATGACAACAGTCTTTCCTACCAATAGCTTGCACTCATGCATTTATCAATTGAAATAATGTCGAAGCGGCAATAAATAACATTAATTTTATCACCGTTTTAGTTGTCAATGCATGGTAGAGTTCGGAGCTTGAAGCAGCCAGCATAAAGTTACTATGGCAATGAACTAATGACTATAAAAAGGAAGTTTGCAGCAGTATGTCCAATCTATAGCATGCAAAGATTACACATATACACATAGTTTTAAAACATAAGTCGAAAAATGTCATAAAATAATATTCAATTCCAAAGAGAAACGACCATGTAGGAACTAAGAAATAGGTATATACATCATCTTGTGACACAACAACTGTTAACGAATTGCTGATGCCAGGCTAAATGAACTCCATGTCCATTACATATTTTCTTGTTTGGTGCCTTAATTCTCGGGCCTTGCTGGAAAATCAAAACCCTAACATTCCAAGGCATGTCTTCTGTGTATATATAATGTGTGAAGCCCATGTCTGTTTTTCCTTCGCTGTGATATTGAGGGAATATTGCTGAAAGTGAAGTAAAACTATACCCACTCACCCACTCACTGTGAATATCCAGGATTAATTGCAGAAGCACTCATGCACGGACCCAAACTTTTACAGGGATTCCAAAACGGAAAACTAAAATATATAGCCTTTATTCACTTTCATAATAGGACAGTAAGATTGTAAAAGCAAAATATCACACAAGGAAACTTGATAATAGATCCACATACATTTCATAGTCATTATACACCACGACAAGTGCCAGCTGTGAATCTGAGGGTGGCCAGTCCTCCTGCTCCGAGGGTACAGGTCACAGGTGAGGATTTACCATCCACGTTGAACCAGAAGGAGACAGTTTCGTGGACAGCTCCAGTGAGGCTGATGGTGATGTCCTCGGCAATGTTGATGTCCGTCACTCTCTGGGGTGACATCGGCACCCACTTGTCTAACTCACCCTGGATGAGAACCTGTTTGCTGAAAGACACATAGCTGTTTACTTACTCGGGTCAAAATCCTTGACCGATGACCACATTCAGTATCATCTGGAAAGATGTAGCGTTGCCCAGCACGCTGTGCAATGGCTAATATAATTTGTTCACTGGTCTCGAGGGGGACATGGGCTGATGTACCCTCGATGTTTGCTTATGTTCCCTGAGCCCGAAGGTGAACATAAAGAAACATCGAGGGTACATCAACACATGGGCCCCGAGGGACCAGTGAACAACGTATTTATGTTACCGAACACCTCAATCAAATGAAATCAAATCAAATTAGACATTTGTATAGCGCTACATATCCAGAGTCCTGCTCATATGCGCTTAGTCGAATGCTCGTTTGAAGAGGTTGGTTTTGAGACAAGATCGGAAACTGTTGATATTTTCCGATTTTCTGACATTTTCAGGTAATCCATTCCAGAGTACAGCACTCGCTCTGCTAAATGTTCTGTCCCCGTATGTTGTGGTTCGGACAGATGGAACATCGAAGCTTTGCTGACTAGCTGATCTGAGTGACCTTCCAGGCTTGTGAATGTTGACTAGTTCCTGGAGATAGAATGGAGCAGGACCAGTAATGGACTTGTAAACAAACACCAGAAGTGTGAATACAACTCTGTCTTTTACAGGGAGCCAGTGTAAATCCTTCAGGACTGGTGTTATGTGAACATACATATTTATGTGTGTGTGTTATGAGCAGCTGTGTTTTGAACACGTTGTAACTTGTCCATGTACTTCTGTTGTATTCCATAGAGTAGACTGTTGCAGTAGTCCAGACGTGATGTCACAAATGCATGGGTTAGGCATTTTACTGATGGTGTGTCCATGTACCTGCTAATCTGTCTGATGTTCCTTAGGTGGAAATATGCAGATTTGCAGATGTTACTGACGTGATTTTCCAAGCTTAATGTTGAGTCAAAGATGACACCTAGATTTTGAGCATGGCTTTCTGGCTCCAGGGACCTTGAACTTGGATTTTGTCTGTTTGGAGCTGATGATGAGAATCTCAGTTTTATCATCGTTCAATTTCAGAAAATTACTGTTCATCCAACATTTGATCTCAGCTATGCAATTTGTTATTGCCTGCAGGGTATTCTGTACAGATATGCAGTTTGTTGCATGAATCCGAGATATAGCTGAGTGTCATCAGCACAGAGATGATAGCTGAGATTGTGGACTCGGGCTATATCAGCAACGGGTATGGTATATACAGTGAACAGGATTGGGCCTAGGACTGAGCCTTGTGACTCACTCAATGGTAATTTTGAACTGTTTGAAGCACCGGTATCGGATCATAGCATGGAGTACCAGACGACAAGAAAAACAAATTTAAAATTATCTCCCTTCCATCGATTTGCATTCGCAAAACATCGGTAATTTCCGTACATCATACATGATTCAATCTTATTCGAGATAAAGAATTACTACTACGAATTATCCAAATGAGTTCGGCATTCCCAGCGGGGTACATAGACAATGTTACTCGCTTGTAAACGGGGTACATTGAAAACAATAGAAGAGCGCTCAGCCAATCAGAAAACAACATTCATGTGTGTGGCACGATAAAAGATGATGTCTCAATAGTATTGGCCTGTGACTCTCCCATGGACAGCAAAGGGCGCATGTGGGCCTGTCATTCACGCCATACAATTATTGAGCAGGGATCCTGCTGCACGACCTCAACGTATTCATCAGGACGTCTTCAAACTCGTTTTCTCCGTTTATGGAAATCGAGACTGATCCGTCAGAATCACGACACTACCCCAATCATCCAAGTCTTGTACATCATATATTATAAGGGCTTGTGGTAAGTTGTTTTGGGGGTCGTGCATTCAACCGCCGTCTGTGAAGACGATGTCTTGTGGACACGTTCTCATATCGGAGCTGCCTGTTGCAACTTGTCCCTCATGTTAGGGGCAGTTTGCAACCGATTTATTAATACCATAATTCTCACTGAACCTTAAAGTGACGTCGACTAGGGAAAAGAAGTGCTTGTTGCTACCAGACCCACAATCTGCTGATGGCAGACTGAGAAACATGCAGCGTTTTGGCAACAATATTGTGATGTGTGCTCATCTGTATCATGACAATGGATCGTAAACGCCCATATATCAATGGTCAATTCTGATACTAACATGATGAATAATTACGCTCGAAATTACGACAATGGTGACACAATGGTGACACAATGGTGAATCTAGCATATCAACCCTTTCACGAGCTGTCCGAGGTCAGGTGCTTCTGGGCAGTCACTGCTTGGTCATGTTCGAAAATGGTCTCACCACATTATTCACTTATTTCATTGTCAGGTATTGATGTATGTTCCTGTAATTTCAACTCATTTTTGAAACAAAGGAATACACCTACCCATTGATGGTCAGCACAGGCGATACATAGAAGAGGCAGAAGTCAGCCTTGGTACAGCCACTCATTGTTAAAGGCTGGGAGTCCGTCAAGGGTTGTATCTTGTTGGGGTTATTGGCCGGGAAAACCATGGAGCTAGGAAACTGGAAATGCCAACGTAATTTTAGGTACAAACGTATTAGTTCCAGCTATATTTACGAAAACTTGAATAGTAAGTACTGAAATCAACTGTGTGTAGAAATGGCCTACCCCTTGATATCCAGCCATGCAAGGTGTCATGTTGTAGCTTCCCTTTAGATCAGCAGCGAGGATGATACCGTACTTGTTGTCTCCGCCAAAATCTGAATACGTGGACCACACCTCCCCATTGGGACCATCAAAGTCTGACCAAGCCATCTGGAAACATTTTATGGGTATTCAAGAGTGTGATGCACAGGTGAATGGTGCGAAAATGTTCACATTTTTTTGCCAGCTTCAATCAGAAAAATGGTAAAAAACTCCACCCCAGTCCTCTTGTATTCAGTGCTCAGATTACTTGTACGCTGTGCAGGGTGCAAATTAATGATCTGTTGTCAGTTTGCTTTGAAGCACTCACCCAATAATTTCCTCTTCTCTCACTGAAATTCACATCCCTCACCCAAGCAACCGCCACCCAACAAGAATATTAAATCTTCGATCCATTTACGACTGTTGTTTTGACAAACAAAAACAATGCT